GTCTCTGCTTCGCAGCCACTGGCAGTCTAGTTAGAGGAGAGACCCGGCTGGGGCCCTGTCATGAAGCCACCTGTGCCATTCCCTTAGTGATAACACAAAGAATACATTACAGAAAAACATCTGGAGTTAATCAGTCTAATCTGGAAAATCTAATTCTTGTTCCGTGTAAGAATCAGCCGACCGCAACCGCTGATACTGAAACTTTGAAACTTGCTACGCTTAATGTCAGATCTCTTTGTAACAAGTCTTTTTTATCATAGCAAAGAGTGATGGCGTAAAAGAATGTTATAAGCAAGTATACACTGCTTCAGAGAATGACTCGCGGATCAGTGAGTGGGTCGAGATGGGAGAGAGTGGAGACCCGTGGAGGGTCCGTTCTGATGCTTTCTCTTGCGCGGACAAGGAGCAGGGACACACCTTCCGCCTACTCGCAGCGTTATCAGCTGCTGTTGTTCTGATGGGCCTACGGATTCGTTCAGAGATCCTGATCTGATTTATCGGACCACAATCCACAAAACACTCCACACGCACTCACTCACTCACTCACCACACAGACACTCACTCACACAGACATGCACCTCACACAGGACACTCACTCACACAAGTCCTCACTGCACATGACTGTCACACACACACACACACTCCAAATGCCACAGCTTCATTCTTATTTTATACATCTAGAGTTTTATTGATCTTTTTGTTGTTGTTGGTTTGACGTTTTGGTGATGTTATAGTAAGAAAGTTAAATTTCTATCTGTGAATAAATTGCCATCAATTTGCCATCAAAAGTATTATTTACAGAGTCATGTTTTTATAATTTTTGTATGGAACAAAGTGTGGAGATGTTTTGATTTGTCACTAAAGCCGCAAACTTGCATCTAAGTCTCTTTTCTGCTTGATATGTTCTGTTTACATGAGCTCGTTTCCTCTGTTTTTTGCTCAGACCAAGGTGTTATGGGTGAAAGTATGCTTTGTTCTATGGCGAATAACTCAAGAACGGTAAGAGGTAGAAACAAACTGTTTCATTCAGAGTAAAGCAGAGAGGTTAATCTTTAATTTGGTGCCCTTGGTGTTTACATCGTCTAAAAAATGAATATTCTGTGGCACTTCAAAGTTGGGTCAAATCACCTGAAATTGCTGGCAGAACGCACTTCTCAAATCTGAAAATGCCTGGCAGTCAGTGAGTTAAGTTAAAGTTTAAAATATGATATTGTTTTTCATATTTCAAACTATTTTTAACACATTAGAATTCTTAGGTTAGACTGTCCAACAAACTATGTGTTAAAAAAGGTTAAGATTCTTGAGTTTTAAAATAATAATTCAATTCCAAAATGTAAAGTTACTGTATATTTCACAATGGTTTATAAACTGCAAAAAGACAACAGTACTTAGTAAACTAAGTTTAAAAACAGGGAGATCAGCTTTACTATTTGGGACACTCCCATCATTTAGACACCTGTGATGTCATCAGTTGGAGTTGAGTTCAGGTGTGGGACCATGTGGGACCATGTGGGACCATAGGAGCACACAGATGTTACCTGCTGCAGAAAGAGAGTTTAATGTTCGTGTATTGCTTTGTTTAATAAATGGATTTAATGTCTTCCCATTAAATCTTCAATGTCAGAGACTTTCACTTCTTCTCACTGTGGCTGTTTAAATGAGCCACTACAGTTGTTATTTTTGTTATTGTTAGCCGCAAATATTAAATATCCATTCATCTGCTGGTAGCAAGCTAACTAGCGCTTGCAACTCTATTCAATTTATTTTTCTTATAAACTTTAAAACCAGCCATATGTTAATTAAAATACATGTACCTTTGCTAATGCAGTCAATTATTGTGAAATCCATAGAGTATAATTTCATGATTGTTGCAATAACTAATGTTCTGTGTGTATTCCTAATGTGTCATGTGTGTTTGAGTCTTACAGGTGTCAGACTGTGTTGAAGGTGTTCAAAGGTAAGAATCACACTCTCACACATTGATTGTTCTTCTGTATTAATATGTTGTTTTTAGAATAAACCATTATTTGGTGTATTCTCTTTGAAAACATCTATCTTTTTCTCAGATTGTTCAGCAACTCACTCAAGATGAGGGAAAAGAGCAACAAGAGGAAGATGCCCCCTCGGAAATGCAACTTGTGTAGAGTAATACAGGGTAAGTAGCTTTCAGGGCTCATTTGTGTCCATGTGCAAAACAAATGCACATTTGCAATTGTTTTTACATGGAATTACTCCAATGACCAAAGCCTTATCCCAAGTTTCTCAGACGGAGTGTCTTCCAGTGTCTCGAGCTAGTGCAGTGCCAAGGTTTGTATCACATGGTGATGGATCGAGTGGTTTGAGGCATTAATAGAAAGTTATGTGTTGTTATATCACTTTGCCACATTATGTTGAAACTAAACATGTTCCACATTTTCAGGTGCTGTGCTTGGACCTTGTGATGAGAGACTGAAGACCAAGAGAGGACACATGTTGGAACATCAACATTCAATAAATGCATTCTTCTGCCTTTCAGATTGTGTTTTTACATCTGGGGAACCTAGAGTGTAGCTTGTGCCTGTTTTAATACTGATCCAAACATAGGCGCTATAATCATGTTTTTTTACTTTGGCATGAACTGTTCAGTACAGTAGTGTTCATAACACTGTGCCCTGTGTGCTTTAACTTGTACTTTGATGTAGAGAAACATGATTTTTAATGCAGCTCCATTTGCAATAATGACTGATATCCTTCTACTACAGTTGTTCTAATGATTTTTGAATGCTGTGTTTATCGTTTATTGCCCAGAGTCAGAACTAAACATGATATAGCTGCATTTCAGATTCACAAGGCTAAAATCTGGAACGGTCTTCCTGGAAATGTGAGACAGGCTTCTTCTTTGACAATGTTAAAATCCAGGTTTAAAACACTTCTGTTTCTGCTTCAACTGAGAGATTTTATGAGATTTTATTTGTATCTTTTTAATTTACTGTCAATATTTATAATTGTAATGCCTTGTTTGATTGTTTCTATCTTTTGTTCAGTGCTTTGAGTTTCCTTTTGTTTTGACTGTGCTATACAAATAAACTTGCCTTGCCTATTGCAAAAAGTATGTCTCGACCAGTGAGTGATTCTGCAGAGGTTAAGTAGGTCAATAGGACTGTAAATGGACGTCATATAAACGTCAATATTTTGGTCATATAAGACGTCGAGAGGAGGTCGGACCCGACCGGTTCTGTACCACATTGCAACCTTGAATGAAGTGGCCGCGACGTCATTTGAACGTCCAGATAACGTCCAGATGACGTTGAAATGACATAGTTTTGACATCTGCTTGCTTAGTTGGAACAACTGAAAACGAACGTCATATGAAGGCAATATTTTGGTCATATAAGACGTTGATAGGACGTCGGACCCGACCGGTTCTGTACCACATTGCAACCTTGAATGAACGTCCAGATGACGTTGAAATTACGTTGTTTTGACATCTGCTTGCTTAGTGGGAACGACTGAAAACAAACGTCATATAAACGTCAATATTTTGGTCATATGAGACGTTGATAGGACGTCAGACCCGACCGGTTCCGTACCACATTCAAACCTTGAATTGACGTGCCATCAACGTAACATTTGGAGGTTGAAGTGACGTCGGGAAACGACGTCGAGAAAACTTTCATTCTGCACCCACCAGTGACCTATATTCTATGTCGGACAACAACGTTCAAATTACGTTGATTCAACGTCGGCTTGCTTAGTGGGTCTGACCCCACACACGTGACCTACTGCCGCGATCGTCAATGTGGCTGTTTCTATATTGGAAACAGCCACATTGACAGATTTGCAGAATACCGACATGATCAAGACAAATAAAAGCAACACATACCAAAGATGTGTGACCAAAATACATAAATGTAAAACCAGTGAAACCTCAAATTATATTCATGTGTGTGTGTGTGTGTGTGTGTGTGTGTGTGTGTGTGTATGTACCTTTTTGTCCTTTTGTCAGTGAGACTCTTGTCGCTAATTTAATGATCTAATCTAAATTCCATAATTCAGGATGTGCAGATGTAGTTTGTTGTGCGTCCTTGGTCTGTACCATTTTTATCGCAACATTTGCTTCGTTATGATAGTTTTAGTCTGATTCTTTAGACTTTTCTTTTAACTTTCCAAAAATGTCCTGTTATCCAAACATCCAGTTTAGTCAAATTTGTCTAAAGCAGTCTGTTGGCAATTCAAAAACTAAATCAATATGAAAAATCTGATTTTATTTTGAGTTTGGGCCGTTTGGGTGCTCATGGGCTTTTTTTCCTTCAGCCACTCATTTTGTGTAGTATCAAAACCGTTCAAACAAACAGATAAATGAGAGCGGAGTCAGAATTCTTGAACATTTAGTGTGTGATGTAAGAGCTGTGACCTTCTCATAAACGCTGACCACAGTCTTCCACCAGATGCAGATTGTTTACATTTTCCCACTGGTTTCCCACCTCGTGCACGTGGACCTCAGAACCAAGGTATAAAGGCCGGTGAGCAGAGACCGAGGGAGTGTGTACGGCGTCTTCACGGTAAGCTCCACACCGGGGTCTCAGGACGGGCCACTTTTCTTAGTCTGATTCTATAGACTTTTCTTACCATAGTCTTAGTCTGATTCTATAGACTTTTCTTACCATAGTCTTAGTCTGATTCCTTAGACTTTTCTTTTAATCTGCCAAAAATGTCTTGTTATCGTCCAGTTTAGTCCAATTGATCTAAAGTAGTCTGTTGGCAATTCAAAAACTAAATTCATTCTTGACGGGCCCTGATCTTGAACCTTGAGTTTGTACAAGCTCTGGTTTTGACTCCAAAATCTGAAAAGTCATTATGTTTTGTTTAGATGTTTCTCCTATTTGCTCCAAAAAACTGCACGTTGACACTTTTAGCAGATCCAAATCATAGCTATAGTTGTATTGATTTTATAACATGGCTTTGACCCGGTTTAAAGGAGCTACTCACCGGGTCTTATGGTTTCTCCACAGGTCTCCAACATGACTTCCTGCAGGTTCTCTGTCCTCGCTCTGCTGCTGCTCTCGGCCTACTGCTGGGCTGAAGAGGTGAGGGGTTTCTCCCACGTAACTATTCTCAAACAGCCAGTGGTGCAGTGTATGATGAGGAATGGATGGGAAAATGTGAAAGGGCTTCTTTGTTAGTTCTTCAACATCTATCCACAGAAAGAGAAAATGCAGGGCTAAAAGCTTTCTAATGGCTACGGCAGACAGCTGTATCTTAGTTATTCATGTTTTTAAGGCATAATGGACTTATAAACTTACAATGTAACCCAAAAAGATCCTTTGTGGAGTGTTAGTTTTCTGCCTTTCCTCCAAAGATAGCGTTAAATAATTTTCTGAAATGGCCCGGCTGCACAGCAAAAAATGCAGTGTTAATTTTTCAGAGTAAAGTTGTTTTAACACAGAGTATTTTCAACATTATGGAGAGTAAAGCTGCTCTGTCCGCGGAGTTAAAAGTAAGTGTAAAAATCTAGAGCCATACAGTGGCAAATGAACCAATACAGCAGTGTCAGGGTTGCCAGATTGGGCTTTGTGATCTATTATACACAATATTGAGTAGAATTAACTTAAAAATTTGACACGGACCAAAGAGTAAATGTTCTACTGATTTAGAGTGGGACCAAATATTGTCTTTGTAATGGTTAAATTCAACCCTATACGAGTCACATTAACACTTCTTTATGTAGTCTGGGAACCGTCTGTTCATTTTCCTGTAGGAGAAGTGCAGTTTACGATCGTCTAAAACCGTTTATTTCGCAAGTGAAGAAGACAGATGATGTTTCCATAACGGTTTCCAACGATTACAGCCGTTCATACATTTTGGAGTTACTTTGCCCCCAGCGTAAACAGACAAACACTGGTGAACACTTTACCTCCCGGGCACATATATCCATAAACCCACAATCCCTAAAAGACGGTTCAAAAACAGCTCTAAGATCTTATGGTTCCAATCCAATTTCATTCGTAGAGCACTTTAAAAAAAAAAGTGGACAAAGTGCTAAACACACATATTAGCTTAGCATTATATACATTTCAAAAATTCAAGTTAAAAACAGCTGAGAGTCAATAACAAACTGTTAAAATTGTGGCGTAAACAATACATTTTTCATCATAAATATAAAAAGAATGGGATGTATTCTATCTAGTTCGTAAATTCAACCAATACATTTTTATTTAATTTATGAGACTCAAGGCAACCAAAGTTCCTTACAATAAAATCAAATAAAATCCATTAAAACATATATGCAGTCAAACAATAAAACAGTTAAACAGCATCAAAAAGAAAACCTAACATGTATTATTTGGGTCATTTAACCGTTATTTGTTATTATTGCTAGTGTGTTTTCTCTTTCACTGTATCTATTCAAGTAACACACAGAAAAAGTCTTGCTCCACTGCCCACAGTCCAAGTTGAGTACATTTTTAACATGTCTTTTCTTCTCTTTTTCGTTATCGTTGCTGTCACATTCTCTACTGGACAAACAGTCTGGTAAGCTTCTTCCAACTGTGCCTCAAACCCACATAGATCCATCTGATGTACTTAATGCACTTAATGATGAATGTGTTCTTTCTCTGCAGAGCTGTCTGCGTCTGAAATCATCGAAAAAGCCAACGCCAACAACGGTAAGATTTGACTTCACCGCACCCACATCCATCACAAGTTTTAACGAAATGGCTTTACTCCTTCATATAATTTAAAACCTCATTCGCAACTGCATTAAAAACCGGTGGTGGACTTCTTGCTCTTGGGGGAAAACAAATGCACTTTGATTTCTAATGGCCGTCTGAGGTTAAGATGACGAGATTCTTTTGCATTATAAAGAAGCAAGTATAAAATCTCCAACTTAAGTATGACAAAGAAGCAAGTATAAAATCTCTAGCTTTAGCATAATATAAAAGCAAGTATATTTAACTTTAGCATAATGAAGAAGCAAGTATAAAATCTCTAGCTTTAGCATAATAAAGTAGCAAACTGTATATTCTAGTGCGGTTCTGTATTGCAGATTCTAACAGTATCTCAAATTATCATGCTGAATTTTGTGTTACTGTCAAAATCAAGTTGAATTTTGTGTTACTTTCCTTGCGGCTCCAGTGCGTCGTGCAGATGATCCCCAGCTGATCGAGATGGACATCGCCATCGACAATGACGGCGAGAGAAACGCTGACCCCTGCACCTCCAGAGGCTGCCTGTGGGGCAAAAACACCGACGGCAAAGTCTACGTCCCCTACTACATCACCAACCAATTCTGTAAGACCTCACACCACAGACACTGAACCGACCGGTGAATCAGGCAAAAGACCCATACAGTTACTCACATGGCACTTGCTGTACTAGCAAATCTGGTGTCAAAAACTTTTATTAATGACTGGATGTTTGTGCACCAGCCTCTAGGGAAAAGTCCATCATCACCCGTGGCCTGGAGTCCTTCTCTGCCTTCTCCTGCATTCGTTTCAGGCCCTCCAGAAGCTCCGACAGAGACTGGCTGAGCATCGAGTCCAAGGACGGGTAAAAGTGACACTACAAACATACACTGTATATAAACGGATGACGCTAACCCGCTAGCTCAAAGAAACCAGACAAAAGATGGCAAAAGTGACCCTACAACCATAGACTTGTAGGGTCAGTTTCTGAAGTCAAAGTCCATGGATGTGAAACGGTCGTAACCCGAGAGCCGTGTGTGGGCAGGTGCTGGTCGTTCGTGGGCCGTCGTGGGGGAAAACAGGTGGTGTCTCTGGCTCGCAGCGGATGTCTGTACCACCACACCGTCCAGCACGAGCTGCTCCACGCTCTGGGCTTCAACCACGAGCAGACCCGCTCTGACCGCGACAACCACATCAAAGTTCTGCTCAGCAACGTCGTCTCCGGTAAGATCCAGACCATAGGGGGCGCCTGTATATAAAGCGGAAACCACATACATTTTGAAAATAATATCTATTTTGTCCACATATAAGCCACACCTGAGTATAAGCCGCAGGTTTATATGTTGTAATGTAGCAGAGATACATGATTTAATGACAATACACCACACAAGCTAAATGAACAACAACTTTATACTAAATAAAATGAAAAAAAATAACCTCATACATTTGAATATCGCGATACAGAACAGAACAGGTTTTTTCCCCCCACCACTACGATAAGAGATCCTTTATACGTCCCAAAGTGGGGAAATTTCAATGTTGCAGTGCACATACAGGACGGTAGTAAGAGCACACAAAATATACAAAATAATAAGTAGCTGCTATGTTTCTTAGCTAGCTGTAAACGCCGCAATAGCAGTCTTTCAAACTACATATAAACAGTGCAAAGTTATATACCGTACACCAGGGGTGCTCACACTTTTTCAGCATGCGAGCTACTTATAAAAGGATCAAGTCAAAATGATCTACCTACTACAAAAATGCAAATCACATATTTATTTTAAAAAATATTCTTTATACCTACAATGTATGTTTATGTACATGCAAAACCGCATGAGCCAATATAGCACAACACAACACAATTACATATGTACATTTTTTGTCATTACCCGAGTTTACTCTGATGACTTGCACTGAATCGGCCAGGGATGCATAGTCCGGAAAATTGGTGGTAACTCGCTGAAAAGTTTGTCGTGGTTTAGCTTTCCTGCACTGAGCGCGGTTGTTTGCGCATGTGCAGTCACCTAAGTGTCAGTAAAACATTACTGAGTAAAACACAGATGTCATTTGACTGTGGTGCCATGTCCATGTGCCATGCCTGGTTTTTTTTAATCCAAATATTTCCCCTCCTCCTTTTATAAAATAATTTGCATCCACACATCTGCGTTATCAATCACATTCGTAACATTCCAAACATGTGCGTCTCTTACGTCCTGTCCTGCGTTGGGGAAAAACACAGAAGTGGGCGGAGCTTTGATGCAGACGCCGGTAACGGCACTTTTACAGTCATAGAAGACACTCAGAGTAAAGATGTATGTTTACAAGCACTGACCCCGTCCTCAGCCCTGGTTTAGTCCTGGTTTAGTCCTGGTTTAGTCCTGGTTTGGTTGTTTTCGAGCGTGAGTCCCCGCGATCACTTTGCTCCCCTCTGATGTGGAGCGAGGATGTTCGCTGCTGCGAGCATCTCACAGCGAACAGTTTTTAAGGTAGTATGATCCATGCTTCAGTGATCAGAGGAATTTAGGGGGGTACTGTGGCGTGCGAGAACGCAAAACTCCGGTTATCTCTGTCTACACACAAATGCATTAATGGAGTTTTCAAAAATCTCCACTTTGCCCGGAGTTTTTTGTATATATTCGTTTAGAATGTGTAATTTTTTATTTATTTAATGCGATCTACCAATACTACCTTTGCGATCGACTGGTAGATCGCGATCGACGTATTGAGCACCCCTGCCGTACACTAATGGCAGTATTGGCCGCAGAGTGAAAAATAAGTAGCGTCTTAAGAGTCCAGAAGGTTCTGTGGAGTTTGCTAAGACTTGATGTTGAAATGTGACGACAGGAATGGAGCACAACTTCAGGAAGATCGCTACTCTGAACCAGGGCACCTCCTACGACTACGGCTCCGTCATGCAGTACCACAGGTGAGGCCACGCCCCCCTGTCAGAGACGCCATTGCCCTGACAGACCCCTACTCTTCACTTCTGCACTCCCCGCTGTTCTTTTTGTTCGTGGTCATCATCATCCGTGACATAGGGTTAGGGTTAAACAGACATTTTGGCACAAATCAAAATGTAATTGAGGCAAAGTTAAATGTTCTCTCTTTAAAGAAACCCTGATGTCATTCCATAGACTTTAATGCAGCTTGTGAACAAGTCAAGTCTCTCCAGGGCTTCGAACCAAATTTCATCCTCGACATGTTAGTGCCTTATGAACCCTCTGAGGAGCACAGGGACTGGCCTCCTGCTGGTGCCCAGAGTCAGTAGGCAACATGGGGAGGCAGAATTTCAGATTCATGCGGATAAAAGATCGAACAGTCTTCCTGAAAATGTGAGACAGGCTTCTTCTCCGACAATGTTCAAATCCGGGTTAAAAACAACTGATTTTAATGTACAGTAATTATTTCAGATTACAGTTATTCCTCCTTAATTAACATAAAAAGGTCTTGCCCAAACGCCAGCCTCCGCCCCTTCTGTCCAAATGTGCAGCTTTAAAACTCGTTACACTCTGAGGAATCTTCTTGTCTTTTGTCTCGGTCCAGAACTGCTTTCTCCAGGAACGGCCAGCCCACCATGGTCCCCATCCCCAACTCCAACGTGAATCTGGGCGGAGCCAGGGAGATGAGCGCAGCCGACAAGAAGAGACTCACCTCTCTCTACAAGTGCTGTGAGTGCTTAAAAAACATTCAGAACATGTCTTCACACCGAGGTCTGAGCTCATGCGTCCCTGTTGTGTTGCAGAAGGAGACGGTCGGATCCGAAGACCACTGCTCATGTGGACACTTCTGAGTTGATCAATAAATCTGTCAAATACTCTCAAGTTTTGGTGTCACGTTTTTACTCCTTCACAAAAATGCTAAAGAAAGGTTTATGTTTGGTTCGGTCACACTTTAGTTTAGCCCTCATTAGTTAACAGATAATTAAGTGCTGGTGAGTGTATAATGGTATAATGTATAGTGGTAGTAGCAGTAATAGTAGTAGTAGTAGTAGTGGTAGTAGTAGTAGTAGTACTAGTAATAGTGATGTAGTAGTAGTAGTAGTAGTAGTAGTAGTTATAGTAGTAGTGGTAGTAGTAGTAATACTAGTAGTAGTAGTAGTAGTAGTAATACTAGTAGTAGTAGTAATAGTAGTAGTGGTAGTAGTAATAACAGTTGTAGTAGTAGTAGTAGTAATACTAGTAGTAGTGAGTATGTTAGCAACCAGCATTGTAGCGTCCAGTTAATTCAATCAAGTTTATTTATAAAGTACAATTCATGCAGTGCAGCCCGAACACGGACATAAAAACATACTTATTTTAAAACATTTTAAAACATAGAAAACAAAAAAGGAAAAAAAATAAGACTTTAAACCAGAAAGTATGTATATAAACAAAAACACAAAAACAAACTGGTCCAAATCTATTTGCAGAGACTTTTCCCCAAACCAGACCTCTGAAGCTATGCAGGGCAGGGCCTGGTAGTACTGTGATGGGAGACCTCTGGGAACACCAGGTGCCACAGTGGGGCGGCTGTGGCTGTATAGTGCCAAACTGTCGTTGTGTCCTTAGGCAAAACACTTCACCACATATCCAAGTGTGTGTGTGTGTGTGTGTGTGTGTGTGTGTGTGTGTGTGTGTGTTTGTGGTTAGAGGTGATTGGAGGGGGTGATGGCACATAATGGTTCCCTTGCCCCTGGGGAGCTGTGGCTACTGTAGTTTATCACCACCGTGTATGGAGTGTAAAAATAATAACATGTGAAGTGTCTTTGAGTGTCCTGAAAAGCGTTGTAAAAAAACCAATGCATTTTTATCATTAAACAAAAACACCAGGTTCATGGACTCTGAGCACCTATCTCTGTCTCCAGTTTGCCAAGTGTCACTCGCCCACTAAACATCCGACCTCCACTCAACCTCCAGATCACGTCAATATCGCGTCGGTCGGTCGTGACCTTTTATTTACGTCCAAACGACGTCTGTGCAAGGAGCGCATCTGGACGTAAAACAATGACCTCCCATATACGTGGATTTCCTCCTAATATATAATAAACGACATTCTTAAAAGCCCCCTTGCTCAGCAAAAACTAAAACCTGGAAGCTCAGTCACCCATACACCTTATACATCCCAGTGGAAGCAATACACCCCAACTGGTCCTATACAACCCAAATAACCCCATATACAGTATTGAAGACAGTCCCCCAATTTGCGTACAAAACCAAGTAAGTAAGAAGTAATTGCTCATGCCATATACTGATTTGAATTTTGTTGAGTGATGACCTCCCATATACGTGGATTGCGCGATGCAAGGCTAGTAGAATTGTACCGTCGTAACGATTAAGAGGGTGCCAGTTATGTACCGCTGAACCTTTGCGGTAATCCCAGCAGTGCTTGCTCGCAGGAGCGCCTCAATGGCCGACTCCTGCCAGCGAGGACTCCCGACGCACCCGCGAACTCTGCAAGTCATCGATAGTCAAGGAACCGTCTTCCCTGGGGAGCTCAAAGACCAACAACATCGCCTGCGAGACCTCATCCCCGATGAGTTTATGACAATCCTGCCATATTATATATCAGCCAAAAGCCCTCCCCGTAACTGATATAAGATAACCACCAACCCAAAAAAAAACCAAAAACCGTACAAACAAACAAAAAAACCCCACAACAAACAACAACAACAATACAAAAAAAAACACAAAAACCCCCTCCCCTCCCCCAACAAGAAACCCCTCTTACCCCAATCTCTACAACTATAAATCCTAACCACCCCTACAACCCCACTACCCCCCGGTTACGTATTCCTCTTCTATTTTCCTCACTATCCACCTGTTTCCCTCCCTCTCCCACCCTGGCACCCCCCACTCCCCTCTGTTCCGCCCATACCTCCCCCTCGCCCCCCTATTCCTCGTCCTATCCCTCCAACCATTCCCCTCCCTTCTCCCCCCACCCACCATTCCCCGACATCATACCACTCCAACCCCCCCCCCCAGCCCCCTTTTCTCACCACCCGTCATCAGCCTAACCCCCCCACCATAACCTACTAACAACCACCTCCCCCTTCCCTAACCAACACAACCCCCCCTGGACCCCAACCCTTTCTTAATCGATCTTCTGCTCTACCCGCCACCTCCCCCAAATAAAAAACATATCAACCTCAATACCTACCCAAGTATGCCCCCAATATCCTCCATATCCCTACCACCAATCATCTCCTTCCTCCCCTATCCCACCCCCCCATACCCCCAACTCCCTACATCCTCCACAAACTTCCCTAATAATACCCCTACCCCGCCATCCCCACTTTTAAAATCGCACAATATCCCAAACCCATTCTCTACACGCCAATAAACAACTTCCAAACTCCCAATCCCCGATTAAACTTCCCTTCACCCCCCCATCCCACTTATAAAAAACAAAAGAATAAAAAGAAAAAACCAAAACCCCCCCAACCCCGGTCATCCCTCTATCCCACGCTCCGATCTCCCCGCTCAAACAAAACTAGACACTCACGACACCCCCGCCCCCCCCGCGTTTCTTTCTTCTTCCCCTCTCTCGCCCGACCACCCCACCCCATTCCATAAATACAAACAACAAACCCACATGCCACCAAATCCTAAATTTCCCCCCCCACAAAAAAACGTCCAATCCACACCCCAAAACCCATAACACCCCTGCCCTCCCCCCTTACACCAAACCATTACTAACCCCCACAACCCCCCCACATAACAAATTATTAATAATCCCCCCCCATACACCCGTAAAACCTTTCCAACCACCGAAAACCCTAAAAACACCGAGAAACACCAAAACCACCCGAATAGCACCAACGCCCACAAAGGTCCCAAAAAACAGCCATATACTCAACCACCCAAACATCCTAAGAACAACAATTACCACTGCGTCCGGCTCGTATTATTTGAGTAACCTCTTGATACCAGTAGCCAAAAACATGCGACACACCCTCTTCAAAACGAAATATAGGTCACAAAGAAGTAGCAGAGGAGTGCAATGAGTAGAGTACTATGACCGCATTGAGACCTTATGAAATTTGGCTCTATCTGGGTCCAGGATGCTGAGGGGGCACTGGTGTGGTGACGGCCTGGTGAAGTAGGTATGGCTATTCGTGCAGGTGTCACTATCTTCTCCCATCTACACCTTGCCACGACTGGTTTATTAGAACACAACAATTATACAACACCACAAATCTAACAATAAGACCTTTAACCCATAGAGATAAAGTCTGACCCCATCACACACCCCCATCCATCCACCACAAACACTATCCCCCCACCCATCCCACCTGCCCCACTCCCCCCCGAGATCTACCCCCCACCCACCCCACCAATACTTACCTATTCTTCCCCGCCGCCCCCATTATTCCCTCCTCCCCCACCCAATACTCCCCCTTCTAATACCAATTCTCACCCCCTATTCTTCCTCCCCATCCCCAGCATCCACTCCAGTAATCAAGCTATCCCATACCTCGTCGCAATCCCCTGCTTCCAGCGGCCAGCCATCTTATCACCTCCACTAAACCTCAAGGTAACTGGCACCCGTCTTCCAGTACGACGACAAAATAGCCATTGATGCGCACATCCTCCACCTGTTATTTCCAGACTCAGCAGAAAACACCCGCCACATAGGCACAGACATACAGGACACACACACACTCACACACAGCACATGAGAATCTTACACTTTTAACGGTGATATACATCCCAAAACTCAAGTCCACCCGCAACACAACAAATACCTCCCACCCCAAGTAACCTCACCACCGGCGTAGTGAACACCCTTATAAACCCCTAACAGTCAAACCCAAGAGAACCTCAACCACTGTACCCCTAATGTCATTAAGAGTCCGCCGACCCCTCCCCCACAAATTACCCCCCACCCACCCCCCCCCCCAACAACCACAAAAACGATACATCAATCATAATTCCCCAGAATCCCCGCCCACGTACCCAGCCCTGGTACAATGCCCCTGACCTGTGACCAAAAACCCCTACTCTCAACCTAACACCTCCAGTGAAAATGCCGACATAACAAACACCACCAAATGTAATAAGTTATAAATCACACTACGAGTCTCGCCATACCCGCATCTCCCTACCACCTGAGTATGACCCCCCACCACACCCCAGAAACACCCACAAACCCCCCCAACCGGCCAACCTGTGACACCATCACAACCCCCCCCTTCATTCCACCGCTCATCCCAACCGACTCTCTCACCCTACCAGCCCCCCACATACATAAGAACCCAACACACCCTCCAACGCCTCTTTGAGTCGTTGCTAATCAACAGTCCATAAGAAAAAAATATAACACATCACCAAAACACAAAAACACTATGTCTCACCATACACTCCTCCCTTAGTGACCGAAGGTCCAACAAAAAAATAGCTCAACCCCCCGAATAGCAAACTCTCCTCCCCCCCGCAACCCCCTCAACGCCCCCGAGACCCACACATCCCAATCAAGATCAAACCCCCTTCCAACCAATTCCTGCCCAATTTGACACTCACCCTAAACCCTACCTCCACACCCTCCCTCCATAACTCCCCCACCCACCCCACCACCCCCGACCCCCCGATACCCCACCACAACCCTAACCCAATTTAGTTCCTCCCAGTCAAACCAAACCCCACAAATGGACCAGACCTATATACTTCTTCATGACCAGGCTCCAGGGAGTACCCGCCTGACCTTCAGCACAAAAAAGGTGGAAGGGCCACAGTCTTAGGCCAAACCAATCATCATCCTGTTAACGGTCCCATTGACACAATCAACCAAGCTTTTGTTCAGTGGCACCGAAATGTATGAATTGCATCCTAGATCTTAGAACCTTGAATCAAGTCAAAGAGACATTTAAAGGATCTCAACATATCACATTCCCCACACCCTCCCCTACTGCCCCGCCCCCTGCACCCGGGATTCTCGCAGCCACACCCAGCCGCCCATTGCACCAAACTGAAATCGCCCCCGACACGCAATCTACTAACAGCAGCCAGAATTATTGCCGAAAGATTGATTTAGATACATCGCCCGGTCGGTCTAGAGTCATGTCTTACCCTACAACCAAAGACCCCTAACACCCCAGAAGATATAGTCAATAACACGAAACATCATCCATCGCGACTGAAGAGAGACACATATAAACTAACCACATGCCAGACATACATACATAGCAGTCAGGAACGGGCACACAGACTGGTGGCCTGAATCATGAGCTGAATGACAAGTAAGGACATCAGACAATGGAGGAGGTAAAAAAAATCTATAAAAAAGGAATCTGCCAAGCGTAATTAAAAATCCAAGTTTGCCAAGACAACATTAAGAATATATCAAAGCATTAAGTAATCATTTAAATATTCATGTAACCAGGGCTATAAGCCATATAAATCGTTGATCCAAGTTAAAAACTCTTTAGCCCAGAACCACTAAGAAGTTAATGGTCAATGAATCAAGACTTTCGACCATCATCCCAAACCTAGGCCATGCACGCAGAGGATGTATGTCCAAACCCCAAATGACATGAGAACTAACAAAAAAACAAAAGCTTAAACAAGAAATACCCGCACTGACCCATACGTTCCAACGAGAGCTAATAGACACAAGTGGAGGAGCATAAAACACCAATAGTAGAATATAATACATCCCTTGCCCCTGTGCTCCGATAGCCCCCCGAAACTCCATCACCCAACACACCCAACCATAAACACATGTTTGTGCTCACATATAGACGACGATCTCGATCTACAGTCGATCTGCAAAGGTATTTATTGGTAGATCCATTAAATAATAAAAAATTACACATACTAAACGAAAAACTACAAAAACTCCGGGCAAAGTGGAGAATTAAGTTGAAAACTCCGTTAATGCCTTTGGTGTTAGACAGAGATAACCGAGTTTTTTGGCGTTCCTCGTCGCACGCCACAGTACCCCCCTAAATTCCTCTATCACGAAGCCATAGGATTCATACTACCCTTAAAAACTGTTCGCCTGTGAGATGCTCGCGAGCAGCGAACATCCTCCACATCAGAGAGCAGCAAAGGGATCGGCGGGGACTCCACGCTCGAAAAACAACCAAACAGGACTAAACCAGACTAAATCAGGCTGAGACGGGGGTCAGTGCTTGTAAACTACGTCATTACTCTGAGTGTCTTCTATGACGTAAAAGTGCCGTTACCGGCGTCTGCCATCAAAGCTCCGCCCACTTCTCTGTGTTTTTTCCCAACGCAGGACCGGTCCTGTACACGAGACGCACATGAAATAGTCATTAATACGACAAGTGTAAGAATCACCCGCCTAATAGTGTGCATCCCCAACAAAACACCCCCTCTTCTTTTCCCACAAATTCAAACCCCCCCCCCCCTTCCATACCGCCTATGCCCATCCTCCCCGACCCTCATACCACAGTATGTAGATACCCAACCGACCATTAAACCATCCGCCCATCAGAACCATTGCCAGATAACGCACCCCACCTCTCCCGAGTCCTCCACTCTAACCCCCCTAAAACCTAGCCAGCTGGAAACCACCAATAATCCCGGACTAATCATCCCAGTCCTATTCAATTCCGTGCCACTTCATACCTCTAACACCACGGTACAAACCGCAACCCATAACAAAGTACATTTTGTAGAGATTAAGTAGCTAGAAATGTCACATGGCGTTTTTGCATGTACATAAACATACTTTGGTAGATATAAGAATATTGGTTTTGAAATATAGTGTCATTTGTCATATTATGTAGAAGGTACATACATAAAGTCCATGATCCTTTTATAAAGTATCTCGCATTCATCGCCCCGTATAGCTCCCCCGAATGCCATCATACACACCATTACAACCCAACATACCAGTGCTGAGTATTCAGATAAAAGCAGTAACACCATGAGACTCACGTCCATGTCAGCAGCATCCCCCAGCACTCGAATGCTACCCTAATTAACATCCTGTAATACGGTTCAGAATGGACTCGACTCGGACTTCAGATCCCCAACGAGGAACCAGGCCATGTTTCATACCAGGTTCGGTATGTCAATACCCCCGGCTCAGCAGGTCTAAGCTCCACCCTTTGGACTGCAAAAACCGCCCGCGAGGTATACAACTGGCACCAACACAACCCAGCTGTCCTTTCTATATACCCCCAAAGTTGGCTAAATAGTTTGAATACCGGGCAATTGTTTCTGGTGCAACTGGACAACCTATCTAACAACAGGTTCAAAAGGCACAAGGAAGCTTCTACCGCCCACACTTGAATCCTCCAGACTGTTGGAAGGTCCCCATCCATAACAAGCGGGAAAGGAATTAGAATGACATCCCTAGTCTTAAAGTGGGAGCAGTAAAATAAATTTTCAAGCAGAAAGAAGGGGCAAAATTATTGGAGAACCCATTCACACTTTCAGGCGACAGTGGATCAGTAGGTAGAGGATGTCCTTTGGGCCCTGATGGTCATGGGTTAGAAGCCATGGATATAATTAATTAACAGGATAGGTATTACATAGCTTGTAGCTGTAATAACACACGGTGCTCAGGGGGATTTTCTCGCGCGGTACTGGCAGACTGAACCATACTAAAGTTCCACGTGGGCCACCCATAAATTTTCCCCATAGACTCAAAGCATATTAAAACAGCTCAAACCTCAGCTGACAGAGAACCTACAGCCTTTCAAACTGAACGGAATAAATGAGTTGACAAAATATAAGTGTCCCTTGTACAATCCTAACTTTTTTTCTTCTGAAATCCCTTTGGTTTAGTTTAAATCCTCACTTTAAGTGCCACAAACACTGCTCTTCTGGCTCTCCGAGCACTAGACTCCCGCTTTGAGGAACTGCTCTGATTGGTCCAGTGCGCGGCCGAGCCCCTCTGTGCACGAGCGTGAGACCCGGTGTGAGACCGCACACACCGTGTTTGGCGCAACGCATTTATGGGAGATCAACCCACTGCGCAAACCGGGATAGGACCATACTATTCCCAGAAATACAGGCGATTTTCCCCATAGATCTAGCGAGTTTCCAGGCAACTTCCGCCGAATCTTTTCAGCCCACCTGCCGTCACTAAAAGCGCCACTGAGCACAACCATTCATTTGAAAAGGGCGCCATCTTGGAATCCGCCCCAGCCGACCCAAGACCGTACTACTGACTCCCCTGTATGTGTCCTGCTGTTTTGTTGTGACTTGGGCACACGTTGAACTCTCACTTTTCTGAAGCCCCCGCTGGAATAATCAAGGCACCTGTGGGACATGCCAACCTGCAGGAGTGATCATGAGGGGCTGGCGCTAATGTGTACTGAGGTGCAGCTCTGACTCCCCCCCCCCAGAAAGAAAACGGACGTACATAACTTTGAGTGTGCAAAAAAGTGCTTAATAAAAACCGGGCATTAAAATGGTTACTGAGATAGAATGGATTTCTTTTTCCATGTAAGTGAAAAGGAGCCAGAAATGAAAAGAAAGTCTATGAGCACTTTCCCATTTTGCACACAACCGGTAGTAATCCACCAACACCGTGTAATACACCACCTTCAATAATGCCAACTTCGCCTCATCCTCTTATCCTCTTTTGCCCCTCCCCCACTTCCCCCCTTCCACATCCCACCTTCCAGCGCCCCTCTCATCCCCTCAAACCCCCCCTTGCCCCCAAACAACCCACCCCGTCCACCCCCCCATCACACGACCCCCACATTCCTCGTTTCCACCGACCCCCCCCAATCAGGATCGCCCATATGGAGGGGGGTGGGCAATGTATAGCTCACCCCCCCCCCTAAACATGGAAGTTATTTGCTTCAACTTGCTCTAGCTCGGACTTATATTGAAAAGTAATCTCCTCTAGCTCAGTATCCGTTTGTCACACTCAATTTTGGCTCAAACAAGATGTTTGGTTCAGTTCTCTCTGTGATCCTGGTGTGTATATTGTGAGATTGTCTATGTAAATCCCGATATGGGCCCTATAAGCCACCGTATTAGCAACATGTCTCCCCCTGCTACGCCATGGAAGAAAAGCCCATAAAAGGAAATCGGTCTCAGAGTTAAATTTTAATAGCCACATCAAATCAGTAACATTAGCAGCTTTTTACCATCCAAAAAACATTGCCATGATTAAAAACATGGTGTCTAAAGCAGACTTGGAGATTCTTATCCATGCATTTGTCTCCAGTGAGTTAGACTACTGCAATGGCCTGGTGTGCAGTACTTTGGGTTGCCTTGTGTATGAATTGAGCTATACAAAAAAACTTGTCATGCCTTGCCTTCTGATTTATGGCTAATACTACACTGCGAGTGAGCGGCAGTGGCTCAGTTGGTAGAGCACTGGCCTTTGGCCTGAAGGTTATGGGTTCGAGCCCACTACAAGACCAACGGGCGTAAGTAAGTAATCTTTATTTATATACCGCCTTTCACAGACCAGAGTCACAAAGCGGTTTACAATTGTTATTTTTGGGCATTTGTCCTATCACTCCACACTGAGATGGGAGCGGGGTCGCCAGTACAGGAGGCGTATGCCAGACCTATTGCTTAAGCTTCATTTGTTGAATAGCTAATGCAATCTGCTGGCTAGTATGTACAGTGTCTTGCTATGGTAACTAGAACTCGTTCTTCTCTGGTGGAAAACTCAACACCAGGACCTGCTATGGTAACAGTCACCATGGCAACAAAAAACATTGCAACCCTTGCTATGGCAACAATCACCATGGCAATCATTGCTATGGAAACAGTCACCATGGCAACTGTTGCAACAGTAACCGTGGCAAATGTTTCTATGGTAACAGTCACCCTGGCAACGTTTGCTATGGCAATGGTCACAATGGCAATCGTTGCCATGGCAACAGTAACCTTGGCAACCGTTGCTATGGCAACAGTTAGCGACGGTTACCATGGCAACAGTAACCATGGCAACCGTTGCTATGGCAACAGTTACCATGGCAACCGTTACCATGGCAACAGCAACGGTTACTATGGCAACTGTTAGCAACAGTTACCATGGCAACTGTTGCAACAAAAAACATGGCAACCCTTGCTATGACAACAATCACCATGGCAATCATTGCTATGGAAACAGTCACCATGGCAACTGTTGCAACAGTAACCGTGGCAAATGTTTCTATGGTAACAGTCACCCTGGCAACGTTTGCTATGGCAATGGTCGCAATGGCAATTGTTGCCATGGCAACAGTAACCTTGGCAACCGTTGCTATGGTAACAGTTACCATGGCAACTGTTGCTATGGCAACAGTAACCTTGAAAACTGTTGCTATGGCAACAGTTACCATGGCAACCGTTGCTATGGCAACCGTTGCTATGGCAACGATTGCCATTGCGACCATAACAGTTAGTAACAGTTGCCATGGTAACAGTAACCTTGGCAACCGTTGCTATGGCAACAGTTACCTCGGACACGGGCCGGGCTCGGGCACTTTGTTGTGCCCGAGTTGTTGGGAGGCCACTTTTTCAAGAATTTTTCCAATGAATGGCAGATTCGATATGGGGCGATAATTTTGAAGTCCCGCAGGATCCAGACTGCTCTTTTTTAGGAGAGGTCTTATGACTGCTGTTTTTAGGGCCATAGGAAATGTTCCTGATGACAGAGACATGTTTACTATTTGTGTCAGTGAAGGTAACAAACTGCTCAGGACGGACTTCAGAAATTTAGAGGGCAATATATCCAGGCTACATGTGGAGGAGCTCAGACTCATGATTATCTTTTTGACAGTTTCAGTATCCACAGGGTGCAAAGTGAGTTAGCTCAAAAAGCTTCTCTGGCTGTTGCATTGTTATACGTGCTGTGGAGGTGATAGTGTTTTTGATTCCTTGTACTTTGTCATCGAAAAACTGTGCGAACTCATTACACCTAGATTTAGAGGAAAATTCTAGGGGCAACTTTACAGGGGGGTTCGTTAATCTACCAACTGTTGAAAACATAACACGAAAATTGTTACTGCAACCTCCAATAATGTCAGAAAAATACATTTCTCTTGTTCTACGTAGAACCCGGTTAAATTCACCCAACTCATCTTTAAAGATTTCATAATCGCCCTGGAAATTGGACTTTCGCCACTTCCGTTCGGTCCTCCGGCACTCTTGCTTCTGTGCCCTGACCGAGTCTGCCTTAGTCCATGTACCTCCCCCTACCAACCCATTATTATCCCTCTAACACCCAACACCCCCTACTCTCATTCTAAAACACCCCAAAACTCCCCAACCCATCACCTAACCCAATATAAAACATTACATATACAACAACACCCCTAATACCCAAACCTCATTATTAAATCACTCCACAACCCCATACCCCCCACCAACCCCTCCCATCACATCCCCCCCCCACACCACCCCAACCCCAAATCACCCAACCCCCCAAATACAACTCCTTACCCATTCTATATCCCCCATCATATTTATTTCCCCACCCTATCATCCATCCCCCCCCTTAACCCCACCTCCTCCCTCACCCAAATCCAAACATACCACCCCCAACACCACATACCAACCCACCCCATACCACCCACCCCACACCCCCACATATCCCCTCCATCCCTACTAACCTACCCCATTACCCACCCACTCCCCATCCATATTATTCATACCTTCCCCATCCCCTCTACTCCTCAATCCCCCCAAAATAACCCAAAACCCCTCCCCACACCACCCTCATCCCCCAAACCCCTTTTCAAACATTTCTCCCCCTATCACACACCCCATCCTCACATCCACCCCCCCAAAATAAAACACTACAAAACTTCAATCCAAACCCCAATTTTATATAATAACACAACTCCATCCAACCATACAAAATTACCTCCATAAATCCACCTCACCCCACCCCTCACACCTCCTATCACCCCAACAACCAACCCCCATCAAATAACCCACTTCACATCCCAACCTCCACTCCTAAACCCCCCACCCACCTCTACTAACCATATTAATCAATCAAACACCCTTTTCCCCAACTCACCTAAATCCTTACCCACTGCACCGGTGCTGAACAACATGACGCATGTAATCCATCAACAGGCTGCTACCGTATCTGTTTGGGTGTAATCCGTCTGGACGATAGGCTTCGTAACGTTTCCAGAAAAGGGCAAAGTTATTCACAAAGACAAAGTTAAAAGAGCTGCATGTAGCCTGGAGCCACATATGCAGCGCCACAACACGACTGTAGAGGCAGTCACCTCTGTTTACAGTCGGGATTGGACCAGAAATAAAAACAGATAGTCCGGAGGATTGAAGGAGGTGGAACAGATCCATAAAATGTTTCTTCCGTGACTTCTGACTGCTGAAGTTTCATGTCGTTAATTCCCACATGCACGACTACCTTGGAAACGGTATCAGGCAGGGACTGAAGCAGAGGAGGGGAGACGGATGAGCAGGTCTGGTACAGTAGCTCCGGGAATACAGCGAGTGACCGCGTTGAAGAAGCGGACGTGTCTCACGATGGAATCTCCAATAATCAGAGTGGTCGGGGCGAAGAGTGGCCTCGGAGAAGGAGCTCGGTGGACGGAACCAGCGGGTTCACCCGAAGCAGGACCGGAGCCTGAGCGCCGCTGAACACATGGAGAGGAGGAGCGGGGGTGCTGACTCTCAGCTACAGGCGACCCACGCTGTGTGCTCGGGGACGCTGGAGCGGTGAGAGGGGCTGGCTCTGGGCGCTGCTGCTGACCCGGTGGAGGTGAGCGGTGGTAATGATGGCTCGCTACCCCAGTCTGAGGCTGCTGCACTGGGGTCAAAGAAGGGGAACAGGCCAACATGGCTGGTGGACCGCTCTTTCGCCTGAGGACTGCTTCCTTTAGGAGCGTTTTCCTCGTAGTGGACTTGGATCCTCGAGCAGTAGAGTACGCTGCAGTGTCCAGGGATTCTGCTGAGGGGGCCGGGATGTCGGTGGAGAGGGCTGCATAGCGGTTTGCCAGACTCAGGACATGGGCCACGGCGCAGGATGGCTCCTCGGAATCCGCGGGCTCGTTATTCGGAACCGGGCGCTTAGGTGTAGAACAGGAGGGTCCGGAGCTGACGGATCTCTCCCACACGACAGTGTCACAATATGCAGCGCTCAGTGACATCAGCCGTGAGTGCTGCCCACCAGCGACTTCAAAAAGTTTGGATACTAGAGATTGTTTCTCATTCAACTCTGCGGTGAGACGAAGGACTTCTTTTCGTAGATCTGCAATGGTGGCACGGTCGCTCTCACGGAGCTCCAAGGTGAGGCGACTAATATTGTGCATGTTTGAGCCAATTTCATTGTCACTTTCCATGTCCTCGTTAGCTTGTGTTAGCCTCTGTGCTACTAGTGGGTTTCAGTCGGGACTAAGTGCTATTTGCTGAAACCACTGAATTAATAAGATAAAACACTCAGATATATTAAAAAACTGAACAATAAAAACGCGCTAAAAAGTTGTTAAAAGTTTACTAAAAAGGTGCACAGAGCAGCCCTGCAGCCTGATCATTGCATTAAAATAAGTACACTGGTACACAGGTACCAGTGACAAAAATCTAAAGTGCTATTATCACTTGAGTTAGTAAGCGCTTTTGCGCACCACACAGACCAGTCCTTCTCAGATAGTGGGGCGTTTCCCTAGGGGGGTGGGGTGCACTGCCAGGGGTGGCGGGGCACTTGCTGTTGTTTGCTGTATGTACTCGAACGGGATTCCACATCCTCCATGGCCTCCGCGTTCTGACCCAGGGCAGCTGCGGCTGACAGCGGTTCCCACCTCCAACGGCTTGTGAGCCGCTTTATCAACAGCTCAGCAAACGCCGTAAAGTGGTCATGTTTCACGGACCAAAGACACAGGATCATAGACACAGGACCATAGACACAGGACCATAGACACAGGACCATAGACACAGGACCATAGACACAGGACCATAGACACAGGGCCATAGACACAGGGCCATAGATACAGGGCCATAGACACAGGGCCATAGACACAGGGCCATAGACACAGGGCCATAGACACAGGACCATAGACACAGGGCCATAGACACAGGACCATAGACACAGGACCATAGACACAGGACCATAGACACAGGACCATAGACACAGGACCATAGACACAGGGCCATAGACACAGGACCTTACACGCACAGTACCATTCTGTTGTTGCGTGTCTTTGCGTAACCTATGCATGCAATAAATACACCGCCACAAGAAATAGAGCCGGATTATGGAGCCTCAGGAAGTGTCCATAGATAGATGGATAGATGATTGGATGGATGGATGGATAGAGAGAAGGAGAAACATATCCATCCCATCCAAAAAGTTGTGGGCCAGATCGAACGCCTCGGCGGGCTGGTATCAGCCCGCGGGCCGCCAGTTGATGATCAGTGTTCTAAAGATTCCTTTAGAGCTTGAGTAAAGTAACAATCATACTGGGTAAAGACAAAACTAGCTTTGTAGATGTATAAACTCATGTTCTCTGCACACATCACATCACATCTCTCCAGTCAGACGTGAAAAACATCTCAGAGGGGCCTTTTATATAAAGGCGATGATTGAGGAAAATAATACAAACCAAAAAAAAAAAATAGAATTTTATTATTTATTTTATTCAGTTGCATTAAACAAGACACATCTTCCCATTTTGAAACAATCTACTGCTCCAAGATTAGTGAAGCAAGATCCATTCCAACATCATCCCAATAACTACGAGTGTTCTGACAATACGTTTAGTCAACCTGCTAGCTCCATGAAGCCTAACATGGAAGTTATTTGCTTCAACTTGCTCTAGCTCGGACTTATATTGAAAAGTAATCTCCTCTAGCTCAGTATCCGTTTGTCACACTCAATTTTGGCTTAAACAAGATGTTTGGTTCAGTTCTCTCTGTGATCCTGGTGTGTATATTGTGAGATTGTCTATGTAAATCCAGATATGGGCCCTATAAGCCACCGTATTAGCAACATGTCTCCCCCTGCTACGCCATGGAAGAAAAGCCCATAAAAGGAAATCGGCCTCAGACTTAAATTTTAATAGCCACATCAAATCAGTAACATCAGCAGCTTTTTACCATCCAAAAAACATTGCCATGATTAAAAACATGGTGTCTAAAGCAGACTTGGAGATTCTTATCCATGCATTTGTCTCCAGTGAGTTAGACTACTGCAATGACCTGGTGTGCAGTACTTTGGGTTGCCTTGTGTATGAATTGAGCTATACAAAAAAACTTGTCATGCCTTGCCTTTTGCTTTATGGCTAATACTACACTGCGAGTGAGCGGCAGTGGCTCAGTTGGTAAAGCATTGGCCTTTGGCCTGAAGGTTATGGGTTCGAGCCCACCACAAGACCAACGGGCGTAAGTAATCTTTATTTATATACCGCCTTTCACAGACCAGAGTCACAAAGCGGTTTACAATTGTTATTTTTGGGCATTTGTCCTATCACTCCACACTGAGATAGGAGCGGGGTCGCCAGTACAGGAGGCGTATGCCAGACCTATTGCTTAAGCTTCATTTGTTGAAAAGCTAATGCTATCTGCTGGCTAGTATGTACAGTGTCTTGCTATGGTAACTAGAACTCGTTCTTCTCTGGTGGAAAACTCAACACCAGGACCTGCTATGGTAACAGTCACCATGGCAACAGAAACCATGGCAACCCTTGCTATGGCAACAATCACCATGGCAACCATTGCTATGGAAACAGTCGCTATGGCAACAGTTAGCAACAGTAACCTTGGCAACCGTTGCTATGGCAACAGTTACCATGGCAACCGTTGCTATGGCAACAGTTACCATGGCAACCGTTGCTATGGCAAACGTTGCTACTGAAAGTTGAGTTGCTATGGCAACAGTTACCATGGCAACCGTTGCTATGGCAACAGTTGGATGACTTTTACCATAGAAACAGTTGCCACGGTTACTGTTGCAACAGTTGCCATGGTGACTGTTTCTATAGCAATGGTTGCCATGGTGATTGTTGCCATAGCAGGTCCTGGTGTTGAGTTTTCCACCAGAAAAGAACGAGTTCTAGTTACCATAGCAAGACACTGTACATACTAGCCAGCAGATTGCATTAGCTTTTCAACAAATGAAGCTTAAGCAATAGGTCTGGCATACGCCTCCTGTACTGGCGACCCCGCTCCCATCTCAGTGTGGAGTGATAGGACAAATGCCCAAAAATAACAATTGTAAACCGCTTTGTGACTCTGGTCTGTGAAAGGCGGTATATAAATAAAGATTACTTACTTACTTACTTAAACGAAAAGATTAAATAAAAGATTTTAAACGTCTCCTTCCTTCATGCATCCTTTGTCTTTCTAAAATCTCTTCATGTGGGGCCAGCTCTTAAAGAATAAGTGTGACCTTTTTTGGCCATTGAAATGTATAAGACTTTTTACTTTGTTATTTCATGTTATAGAATGTGAATGATCTTTTCAAATACATACAATACTATGTTATCATGATGGCCATTTATAACTGTGCTTTTTTTATCCACCCCTATGATAGTAAGCACATATTTACACTGATGTTTCCACCCCCATGCTTCACAATAGGTCGGGGATCACTGCTCTAGAAAAGATCTGCATGGAGGAATGGGCCAAAATACCAGCGTGAAGACTTTCAGAAAACGTTTGAACTTTGTCATTGCCAAAAACGGATTCTGAGATGGACTTTAGACATTGACTAAATACGTATTTTCCACCATCATTTGCAAATAAATGGTGTGATTATCTGGATTGTTGTCTCCCACAGTTGAAGTTTACATTATAAACATCACAGGCATCTCTTACACAATCGGTGGCTGATTAAATACCCTTTTCCCCTCTGTATTACAGGAAATACAATAATAATAAACTCTCAGGAGCCATTGGTTCGTAAAGAGCAGGACGACCACTGGTCCAGAAATGTGACGACTTTAATACTGACTCAGCTCAACACCTTGACCTTTGAATGTGTGTGAACCAACAGAGTGCTCCGGCTGCTCCTGTCCCAGCTCTTATCTGTGTGTGAAGCCAGGGGCACTGTGGTTACCGTGGTTACACTGTACATACTGTAACCTGTGCAGTATTCACAAATGATATGTAGTTGTAGTAGTAGTATTAGTAATAGTAGTAGTAGTAATAGTAGTAGTAGTAAAAGTAGTAGTAGTAATAGTAGTAATAGTAGTAGTAGTAGTAGTAATAGTAGTAGTGGTAGTAGTAGTAATAGTAGTAGTAGTAATAGTAGTAGTACTAGTAATAGTGATGTAGTAGTAGTAGTAGTAGTACTAGTAATAGTGATGTAGTAGTAGTAGTAGTAGTAGTGGTAGTAGTAATAACAGTTGTAGTAGTAGTAGTAGTAATACTAGTAGTAGTAGTAGTAGTAGTGAGTATGTTAGCAACCAGCATAGCGTCCAGTTAATTCAATCAAGTTTATTTATAAAGTACAATTCATGCAGTGCAGCCAAATCTATTTGCAGAGACTTTTCCCCAAACCAGACCTCTGAAGCTATGCAGGGCAGGGCCTGGTAGTACTGTGATGGGAGACCTCTGGGAACACCAGGTGCCACAGTGGGGCGGCTGTGGCTGTATAGTGCCAAACTGTCGTTGTGTCCTTAGGCAAAACACTTCACCACATATCCAAGTGTGTGTGTGTGTGTGTGTGTGTGTGTGTGTTTGTGGTTAGTGGTGATTGGAGGGGGTGATGGCACATAATGATTCCCTTGCCCCTGGGGAGCTGTGGCTACTGTAGTTTATCACCGCCGTGTATGGAGTGTAAAAATAATAACATGTGAAGTGTCTTTGAGTGTCCTGAAAAGCGTTGTAAAAAAACCAATGCATTTTTATCATTAAACAAAAACACCAGGTTCATGGACTCTGAGCACCTATCTCTGTCTCCAGTTTGCCAAGTGTCACTCTGACCCCACACACGTGACCTACTGCCGCGATCGTCAATGTGGCTGTTTCTATATTGGAAACAGCCACATTGACAGATTTGCAGAATACCGACATGATCAAGACAAATAAAAGCAACACATACCAAAGATGTGTGACCAAAATACATAAATGTTAAACCAGTGAAACCTCAAATTATATTCGTGTGTGTGTGTGTGTGTACCTTTTTGTCCTTTTGTCAGTGAGACTCTCGTCGCTAATTTAATGATCTAATCTAAATTCCATAATTCAGGATGTGCAGATGTAGTTTGTTGTGCGTCCTTGGTCTGTACTATTTTTATCGCAACATTTGCTTCGTTATGATAGTTTTAGTCTGATTCTTTAGACTTTTCTTTTAACTTGCCAAAAACGTCCTGTTATCCAAACATCCAGTTTAGTCCAATTTGTCTAAAGCAGTCTGTTGGCAATTCAAAAACTAAATTAATATGAAAAATCTGATTTTATTTTGAGTTTGGGCCGTTTGGGTGCTCATGGGCTTTTTTTCCTTCAGCCACTCATTTTGTGTAGTATCAAAACCGTTCAAACAAACAGATAAATGAGAGAGGAGTCAGAATTCTTGAACATTTAGTGTGTGATGTAAGAGCTGTGACCTTCTCATAAACGCTGACCACGGTCTTCCACCAGATGCAGATTGTTTACATTTTCCCACCGGTTTCCCACCTCATGCACGTGGACCTCAGAACCAAGGTATAAAGGCCGGTGAGCAGAGACCGAGGGAGTGTGTACGGCGTCTTCACGGTAAGCTCCACACGGGGGTCTCAGGACGGGCCACTTTTCTTAGTCTGATTCTATAGACTTTTCTTACCATAGTCTTAGTCTGATTCTATAGACTTTTCTTACCATAGTCTTAGTCTGATTCCTTAGACTTTTCTTTTAATCTGCCAAAAATGTCTTGTTATCGTCCAGTTTAGTCCAATTGATCTAAAGTAGTCTGTTGGCAATTCAAAAACTAAATTCATTCTTGACGGGCCCTGATCTTGAACCTTGAGTTTGTACAAGCTCTGGTTTTGACTCCAAAATCTGAAAAGTCATTATGTTTTGTTTAGATGTTTCTCCTATTTGCTCCAAAAAACTGCACGTTGACACTTTTAGCAGATCCAAATCATAGCTATAGTTGTATTGATTTTATAACATGGCTTTGACCCGGTTTAAAGGAGCTACTCACCGGGTCTTATGGTTTCTCCACAGGTCTCCAACATGACTTCCTGCAGGTTCTCTGTCCTCGCTCTGCTGCTGCTCTCGGCCTACTGCTGGGCTGAAGAGGTGAGGGGTTTCTCCCACGTAACTATTCTCAAACAGCCAGTGGTGCAGTGTATGATGAGGAATGGATGGGAAAATGTGAAAGGGCTTCTTTGTTAGTTCTTCAACATCTATCCACAGAAAGAGAAAATGCAGGGCTAAAAGCTTTCTAATGGCTACGGCAGACAGCTGTATCTTAGTTATTCATGTTTTTAAGGCATAATGGACTTATAAACTTACAATGTAACCCAAAAAGATGCTTTGTGGAGTGTTAGTTTTCTGCCTTTCCTCCAAAGATAGCGTTAAATAATTTTCTGAAATGGCCCGGCTGCACAGCAAAAAATGCAGTGTTCATTTTTCAGAGTAAAGTTGTTTTAACAGAGTATTTTCAACATTATGGAGAGTAAAGCTGTTCTGTCCGGGGAGTTAAAAGTAAGTGTAAAAATCTGGAGACATACAGTGGCAAATGAACCAATACAGCAGTGTCAGGGTTGCCAGATTGGGCTTTGTGATCTATTATACACAATATTGAGTAGAATTAACTTAAAAATTTGACACGGACCAAAGAGTAAATGTTCTACTGATTTAGAGTGGGACCAAATATTGTCTTTGTAATGGTTAAATTCAACCCTATACGAGTCACATTAACACTTCTTTATGTAGTCTGGGAACCGTCTGTTCATTTTCCTGTAGGAGAAGTGCATTTTACGATCGTCTAAAACCGTTTATTTCGCAAGTGAAGAAGACAGATGATGTTTCCATAACGGTTTCCAACGATTACAGCCGTTCATACATTTTGGAGTTACTTTGCCCCCAGCGTAAACAGACAAACGCTGGTGAACACTTTACCTTCCCGGGCACATATATCCATAAGCCCACAATCCCTAAAAGACAATTCAAAAACAGCTCTAAGATCTTATGGTTCCAATCCAATTTCATTCGTAGAGCACTTTAAAAAAAAAAAGTGGACAAAGTGCTAAACACACATATTAGCTTAGCATTATATACATTTCAAAAATTCAAGTTAAAAACAGCTGAGAGTCAATAACAAACTGTTAAAATTGTGGCGTAAACAATACATTTTTCATCATAAATATAAAAAGAATGGGATGTATTCTGTCTAGTTCGTAAATTCAACCAATACATTTTTATTTAATTTATGAGACTCAAGGCAACCAAAGTTATTTACAATAAAATCAAATAAAATCCATTAAAACATGTATGCAGTCAAACAATAAAACAGTTAAACAGTATCAAAAAGAAAACCTAACATGTATTATTTGGGTCATTTAACCGTTATTTGTTATTATTGCTAGTGTGTTTTCTCTTTCACTGTATCTATTCAAGTAACACACAGAAAAAGTCTTGCTCCACTGCCCACAGTCCAAGTTGAGTACATTTTTAACATGTCTTTTCTTCTCTTTTTCGTTATCGTTGCTGTCACATTCTCTACTGGACAAACAGTCTGGTAAGCTTCTTCCAACTGTGCCTCAAACCCACATAGATCCATCTGATGTACTTAATGCACTTAATGATGAATGTGTTCTTTCTCTGCAGAGCTGTCTGCGTCTGAAATCATCGAAAAAGCCAACGCCAACAACGGTAAGATTTGACTTCACCGCACCCACATCCATCACAAGTTTTAACGAAATGGCTTTACTCCTTCATATAATTTAAAACCTCATTCGCAACTGCATTAAAAACCGGTGGTGGACTTCTTGCTCTTGGGGGAAAACAAATGCACTTTGATTTCTAATGGCCGTCTGAGGTTAAGATGACGAGATTCTTTTGCATTATAAAGAAGCAAGTATAAAATCTCCAACTTAAGTATGACAAAGAAGCAAGTATAAAATCTCTAGCTTTAGCATAATATAAAAGCAAGTATATTTAACTTTAGCATAATGAAGAAGCAAGTATAAAATCTCTAGCTTTAGCATAATAAAGTAGCAAACTGTATATTCTAGTGCGGTTCTGTATTGCAGATTCTAACAGTATCTCAAATTATCATGCTGAATTTTGTGTTACTGTCAAAATCAAGTTGAATTTTGTGTTACTTTCCTTGCGGCTCCAGTGCGTCGTGCCGATGATCCCCAGCTGATCGAGATGGACATCGCCATCGACAATGACGGCGAGAGAAACGCTGACCCCTGCACCTCCAGAGGCTGCCTGTGGGGCAAAAACACCGACGGCAAAGTCTACGTCCCCTACTACATCACCAACCAATTCTGTAAGACCTCACACCACAGACACTGAACCGACCGGTGAATCAGGCAAAAGACCCATACAGTTACTCACATGGCACTCGCTGTACTAGCAAATCTGGTGTCAAAAACTTTTATTAATGACTGGATGTTTGTGCACCAGCCTCTAGGGAAAAGTCCATCATCACCCGTGGCCTGGAGTCCTTCTCTGCCTTCTCCTGCATTCGTTTCAGGCCCTCCAGAAGCTCCGACAGAGACTGGCTGAGCATCGAGTCCAAGGACGGGTAAAAGTGACACTACAAACATACACTGTATATAAACGGATGACGCTAACCCGCTAGCTCAAAGAAACCAGACAAAAGATGGCAAAAGTGACCCTACAACCATAGACTTGTAGGGTCAGTTTCTGAAGTCAAAGTCCATGGATGTGAAACGGTCGTAACCCGAGAGCCGTGTGTGGCAGGTGCTGGTCGTACGTGGGCCGTCGTGGGGGAAAACAGGTGGTGTCTCTGGCTCGCAGCGGATGTCTGTACCACCACACCGTCCAGCACGAGCTGCTCCACGCTCTGGGCTTCAACCACGAGCAGACCCGCTCTGACCGCGACAACCACATCAAAGTTCTGCTCAACAACGTCGTCTCCGGTAAGATCCAGACCATAGGGGGCGCCTGTATATAAAGCGGAAACCACATACATTTTGAAAATAATATCTATTTTGTCCACATATAAGCCACACCTGAGTATAAGCCGCAGGTTTATATGTTGTAATGTAGCAGAGATACATGATTTAATGACAATACACCACACAAGCTAAATGAACAACAACTTTATACTAAATAAAATGAACAAAAATAACCTCATACATTTGAATATCGCGATACAGAACAGAACAGGTTTTTTCCCCCCCACCACTACGATAAGAGATCCTTTATACTTCCCAAAGTGGGGAAATTTCAATGTTGCAGTGCACATACAGGACGGTAGTAAGAGCACACAAAATATACAAAATAATAAGTAGCTGCTATGTTTCTTAGCTAGCTGTAAACGCCGCAATAGCAGTCTTTCAAACTACATATAAACAGTGCAAAGTTATATACCGTACACCAGGGGTGCTCACACTTTTTCAGCATGCGAGCTACTTATAAAAGGATCAAGTCAAAATGATCTACCTACTACAAAAATGCAAATCACATATTTATTTCAAAAAATATTCTTTATACCTACAATGTATGTTTATGTACATGCAAAACCGCATGAGCCAATATAGCACAACACAACACAATTACCTATGTACATTTTTTGTCATTACCCGAGTTTACTCTGATGACTTGCACTGAATCGGCCAGGGATGCATAGTCCGGAAAATTGGTGGTAACTCGCTGACAAGTTTGTTGTGGTTTAGCTTTCCTGCACTGAGCGCGTTTGTTTGCGCATGTGCAGTCACCTAAGTGTCAGTAAAACATTACTGAGTAAAACACAGATGTCATTTGACTGTGGTGCCATGTCCATGTGCCATGCCTGGTTTTTTTTAATCCAAATATTTCCCCTCCTCCTTTTATAAAATAATTTGCATCCACACATCTGCGTTATCAATCACATTCGTAACATTCCAAACATGTGCGTCTCTTACGTCCTGTCCTGCGTTGGGGAAAAACACAGAAGTGGGCGGAGCTTTGATGCAGACGCCGGTAACGGCACTTTTACAGTCATAGAAGACACTCAGAGTAAAGATGTATGTTTACAAGCACTGACCCCGTCCTCAGCCCTGGTTTAGTCCTGGTTTAGTCCTGGTTTGGTTGTTTTCAAGCGTGAGTCCCCGCGATCACTTTGCTCCCCTCTGATGTGGAGCGAGGATGTTCGCTGCTGCGAGCATCTCACAGCGAACAGTTTTTAAGGTAGTATGATCCATGCTTCAGTGATCAGAGGAATTTAGGGGGGTACTGTGGCGTGCGAGAACGCAAAACTCCGGTTATCTCTGTCTACACACAAATGCATTAATGGAGTTTTCAAAAATCTCCACTTTGCCCGGAGTTTTTTGTATATATTCGTTTAGAATGTGTAATTTTTTATTTATTTAATGCGATCTACCAATACTACCTTTGCGATCGACTGGTAGATCGCGATCGACGTATTGAGCACCCCTGCCGTACACTAATGGCAGTATTGGCCGCAGAGTGAAAAATAAGTAGCGTCTTAAGAGTCCAGAAGGTTCTGTGGAGTTTGCTAAGACTTGATGTTGAAATGTGACGACAGGAATGGAGCACAACTTCAGGAAGATCGCTACTCTGAACCAGGGCACCTCCTACGACTACGGCTCCGTCATGCAGTACCACAGGTGAGGCCACGCCCCCCTGTCAGAGACGCCATTGCCCTGACAGACCCCTACTCTTCACTTCTGCACTCCCCGCTGTTCTTTTTGTTCGTGGTCATCATCATCAGTGACATAGGGTTAGGGTTAAACAGACATTTTGGCACAAATCAAAATGTAATTGAGGCAAAGTTAAATTTTCTCTCTTTAAAGAAACCCCATTGTCAATCCATAGACTTTAATGCAGCTTGTGAACAAGTCAAGTCTCTCCAGGGCTTCGAACCAAATTTCATCCTCGACATGTTAGTGCCTTATGAACCCTCTGAGGAGCACAGGGACTGGCCTCCTGCTGGTGCCCAGAGTCAGTAGGCAACATGGGGAGGCAGAATTTCAGATTCATGCGGATAAAATGGCAGTATTGGCCGCACAGTTCCGGCGGCGGCACGGTGGCTGGGTGGATAGCACTCTCGCCTCTCAGCAAGAAGGTCCTGGGTTCGAATCCTGGCCGGACCAGGGCCTTTCTGAGTGGAGTTTGCATGTTCTCCCCGTGTCTGCGTAGGTTTCCCCCGGGTACTCCGGTTTCCCCTACCACTAAAAACATGTACAATAGGTCTGGCATGCGCCTCCTGTACTGGCGACCCCGCTCCCATCTCTGTGTGGAGTGAGAGGACAAGTGCCCAAAAAATAACAATTGTAAACCGCTTTGTGACTCTGGTCTGTGAAAAGTGGTATATAAATAAAGCTTACTAAAAGATCGAACAGTCTTCCTGAAAATGTGAGACAGGCTTCTTCTCCGACAATGTTCAAATCCGGGTTAAAAACAATTATCTTTCGATGTGCAGACAACTGATTTTAATGTACAGTAATTATTTCAGATTACAGTTATTCCTGCTTAATTAACATAAAAAGGTCTTGCCCAAACGCCAGCCTCCGCCCCTTCTGTCCAAATGTGCAGCTTTCAAACTCGTTACACTCTGAGGAATCTTCATGTCTTTTGTCTCGGTCCAGAACCGCTTTCTCCAGGAACGGCCAGCCCACCATGGTCCCCATCCCCAACTCCAACGTGAATCTGGGCGGAGCCAGGGAGATGAGCGCAGCCGACAAGAAGAGACTCACCTCTCTCTACAAGTGCTGTGAGTGCTTAAAAAACATTCAGAACATGTCTTCACACCGAGGTCTGAGCTCATGCGTCCCTGTTGTGTTGCAGAAGGAGAAGGTCGGATCCGAAGACCACTGCTCATGTGGACACTTCTGAGTTGATCAATAAATCTGTCAAATACTCTCAAGTTTTGGTGTCACGTTTTTACTCCTTCACAAAAATGCTAAAGCAAAGGGTTTATGTTTGGTTCGGTCACACTTTAGTTTAGCCCTCATTAGTTAACAGATAATTAAGTGCTGGTGAGTGTATAATGTTTGATTATATAGCTCTTAATTGGTATTTATCAAGAACTTATCAGTACTTATTCTACATGGCTACAAACTGACACTTCCCCATGTGGGTTAGGGTTCACTCTTCAGCACTTAAAGGTATAAAGGAGGATTTTCTACTTCCGGGTGGATCATCAAGACTATTGGTCCTCCTCATTGTCAATCATTCTGGTGATACGTGCTCGTCAAATAAGACCAGAGAGTTTTTTCAAAAAGTGGAGAGTGCGGTTCTTTGGGGAATTTGGGGATATCCTCCATAATGTACCTTTAATAAGCTGTTAATTAGTGAGAATATGTTTAACCCTCTAGGCGCCATCGTTGACTTGAAACGATCGATTGGGTGTCAAAATTAATGCAAACTCCACACAATGATTTGCGCTGTTTTACTGTTTCCCTGACTCTTGAGTGTGGTACAGTGTGAGTTCTGTTTGTGTGTTCATGTTCTAGTGATCTGTGTCGGTCAGTAAAAATAAAAATGTATTTCATGAAAATCCTCGATTGCCACGTCCATATGAAGTCATAATATGTAAATTGAATGGGTACATATAAATCCTACATACACTTTAGGACATCCTCATAATTTCTCTAATTTACACAAAGCTCTCTCATCACTTTTAAGTTATTAATACATTTAGATGTCTGGCCCCTAAAGAGTTAAGGGCCGACTTCAACAAAAGCAATCGTAGAAAAACAGTCTGTTCTAATTTGATGGGTTGTACTTTGTTGTCCCAGTTGGGAATTTGTACAAATGCCTCTGTATTTGACCCAAACTTCATTACCACCGTCTCTGTCAGGTAAAGGTAAAGGCCAAGGTGCACTTTAATGTCACCGTTGGGCAATTCATCCTCTGCATTTGACCCATCCTGATGCCGCAAAGGCTTACGTGAGGAGCAGTGGTCGCCGTAGTAACAGCGCCCGGGAACCCATCTCCAGATGTTGATGCTCGGCTTGGTCAGGACCAGAGCTGGAGGATTTACCTTATTGTACACGAGGAGAACATGCAAACTCCACTGTTCCAACTTCTTGCCGGGAAATGAGTGCTAACCACTCAGCCACAAAAGGTTTCAACGAAATGTATCATTTTTACATCATCTTTCCAAATCTGTAGAAACTGTTCCTGCACGTCACCACAGAAATTAAAACAAAGAGACTAAGAAGTAATGATAGACAACTTTATGGATCTGCTCAACTACATTCGATTCAATGTATTTTTGTATATATTTATACAACTGTATACATGTATTTATACAGTTATGGCGTAATTCACAAAAGTAGTTATATTTTAAGACTCACAAAACTTGTAGAACAGACAGCCGCTGTAGTGTGACAAACCCACCAGCAGAGGGCAGTGCTGTCACGTGGATCCTCCGCAGGGCTTTTAAACTGTGACTCAATGAGAAGATTTTATGTTTCAATGTCTAAACGTGAGGAGGGAGTATTGCCTGGAGGGAAGAGACCCGCAAACGAGCCTCACAGGACTCTCCCAACCACTACACATCCACATTCAGGACCGTCCATTTCCCATTTTATTCAAATACAATCAAACCACGAGTAAGAACCCTCGCAGAGTGAAGCGAGTGGAAAGGCCATGATCCCAGCAGTGCTCATTAGAAACTGATGGACCATATCCAGGCTCCAGAGACTCATGCAAATGCACAGAGAAGAACTGAGAACGAGGGAAAAGTGGACATGCAACATCAGTGAGGCCTCTTCGGTGGGCTGGCCAATGAGAATGCAGAATACTTAGATATGAACATGTACGAATGACGCCAAAGACCTGAGAGTCCGTCCAAGAGCGGGGCTATGTTTGGCTTACATTAGCACGATTTGAATTCAATTAGTCCACATAATTAATCTTATTTTCAATTAAAAATAGACAAGAAAATATTTGAAAATTTTACTGGATCAGTATGACCAGGACTTTATACCTGTGTGTCTCTGAAAGCACAATAAGCACTTTTTTTTAATATATACCACACTTTAAAACGCTTCACAAGCTCAAAAACAACAGATTATAATGCAGGAAAAAAAATAAAAATAAAAGCAAAACCGATACAGATACATCAATGCACAACATTTTCAAAAGTGTAACTTAAAACTATTAGAATTAAAACTCTTAATAAAATGGGGGTTTGATAATAGATATAGTAGAGTCAGTGGAACGCAAAGCTAAACATTCCTACGTTGTCAGGGTAGAGGCCTGTCTCACAACCTCAGGAAGACTGTTCCAGATTGATGCTGCATAGACCTGAAGTGCTGCCCCCCCACGTTAGGTCCTGACTCTGGGAACAGGAGGTCAGTCCCTGTGCTCCTCAGAGTCCCAGCAGAAGTCCAGTCCCTGTGCTCCTCAGAGTACCAGCAGAAGTCCAAGTCCCTGTGTGCCTCAGAGTCCCAGCAGAAGTCCAAGTCCCTGTGCGCCTCAGAGTCCCAGCAGAAGTCCAGTCCCTGTGCTCCTCAGAGTCCCAGCAGAAGTCCAGTCCCTGTGCTCCTCAGAGTCCCAGCAGAAGTCCAAGTCCCTGTGTGCCTCAGAGTCCCAGCAGAAGTCCAGTCCCTGTGCTCCTCAGAGTCCCAGGAGAAATCCAGTCCCTGTGCTCCTCAGAGTCCCAGCAGAAGTCCAGTCCCTGTGCTCCTCAAAGTCACTTGTCATAGATGTACTTTGGTTCAAGGCCCTGAAGAGACAAACAGAGCTACTTTAAACACTTACATTTGTTTACTGTTTTCACTTGAAGCTCCGCCCCCTGTGTCTGTTTGTAGTTTCCACGGCGACCTCTCCTATAAAACTCTATAGATTCTCCCCCTGTATGCATAACACCGTGGACACCTCTCCCTATCCTCCACCTTCCACTTCTCTCCTCGTGCATCTCCCACTAATGAACCACATCACGTGCAAAAGAGTGACATCGCACAGAGACCAAATAAAACGATTCCAACATCCTCCAGTTTTTTCATGAGCAGATAAAAAGGTGCAGACGTTGGCTCTCCGCTTCAGGTCGAGCTTTGTTGTGCGACCATTTACCAGCCGCCAAGAAAGCCTTTCCGAGGAGCTCCCATTTGCATATTTCACCAGCCGCAAAACAAGCATGTAAACATTAGAAGCGTGCGGAAAACGGATAACCCGGCAAAGAGCAACACAAGAAAAAAAGACAAAGGAAAAATTCAATTGTGGTGTTTATAAGAAGACCAGCTGCTTGTCACATGGAGGGACTCGTAAAGAGACCGGGGCACAAAATGGAAAGTGATGGGAGCCTCTGGGAGATAATAAATATGTTTTTCTCGTGGCTTCGGCAACTATGGGATGAATAATTTAAGGCGGGCTGGCGGTTCGGAGGTGTCGGTGGGTGGACGAGGGAGACAGGGGTTGAAAGCGATGTTGGAGAGGAGGATGTGGAGTGTGGGGACAAGGGCACAGATATTGTAGGAATGGTTGGTTTTTAATTTTTCTATGGCAAAAAAGGCAATTCTAATGTTATCAAACTGTCAGGACAGGATCAGGTGAAAAAAAAAAACAGTTGTGTTTAGCTGTGCATGGAACTGGGGGAATTTATCTCTACTCTTTTTGGTTATCTATGACTTTTTTTTTTGTTATGCACTTTGAGTTGCCTTGTGTGTGAGCTGTGCTAACCAAATAACATTGCCTTGCCTTAATCAACGTTAAAACTGTTCGAATAATCAGGGCTTCTCTGTATACACTGCAAAAAGCAAGGAAAAGTAAGTCAAAAATGACAAAAAAAAATGGGCAATATGCATCTTTGAGAATCTTTTGACTGCTTTGAAACAAGATTCACCAATAGGACAAATAATCTTTTTTTTAAACGTATTAACAAAATATCTCTCGCTCTCCGGTCTCTCGCTCTCCGATCTCTCGCTCTCCGGTCTCTCGCTCTCCGGTCTCTCGCTCTCCGGTCTCTCGCTCTCCGGTCTCTCGCTCTCCGGTCTCTCGCTCTCCGGTCTCTCGCTCTCCGGTCTCTCGCTCTCCGGTCTCTCGCTCTCCGGTCTCTCGCTCTCCGGTCTCTCGCTCTCCGGTCTCTCGCTCTCCGGTCTCTCGCTCTCCGGTCTCCGGTCTCTCGCTCTCCGGTCTCTCTCTCTCTGGTTTCTCTCTCCAGTCCCTCTCTTCGGTCCTTCTCTCTCTCTCCGGTCCCTCTTTCCGGTCCTTCTCTCTCTGGGGTCTCTCTCTCCGGTCTCTCTCTCTCTCTCTCTAGAGGTGAGTCCTCTGGTCCAGGGTCTGGTTGAAGAAACTATCAAAGCATTAAACAATAGGCAGCATCAGAGAGTAGCTCTCTTCAGAAGGTGGTCCTGGTCCAAAGACTGATCCCAAACCCTCACGTTGCATGTACAGTATTTTGCGTCTGTGTAAAAACTGATGGATGTGGATAGTTCCTGGTTCACATCCGAGGCCCCTGAACCATCTCCTCTGAGCCGGACGACACTGGAGCAGATCTGGAATCAGCAGAGGCCTGACTTACACCACTCAGACCTGCTTTAATCACATCTTTTATTCATCGTGTGATCACCCCGGAGCAGCGCACTTTTGTTCATTATCATTTGCATAAAGAAGCCAGAGAATACTACAGCTTTACAACAGAGATGACAAGTGCAAGTTTTATTCAAAGATCCATTTCAGCCTCAATGTGGAAACTCAGACCTGGGCAGATTGTGGCCTGTTTGCCTCTGTTTGAATCAGGCCTGTCCAAACTGAGGCCTGTGGGCCAAATGCCATTTGTCATTTCATGTGGCCCTCTGATGCTAACATAAAGGAGCCATTGAGGTAATAATAATAATAAATCTGTTTTATATAACGCTTTTTCAGGACACTCAAAGACGCTTCACATGTCATTATTCATTCATTCCATAAACGCCGGTGATAATCTACTATTTTAGCCACAGCTCCCCTGGGGCACACTGACAGAAGCAAGGCAACCAGTCTGTGCCATCGGCCCTCCCGCCACCACCAACCATTCATTCATGAAAGTATGTTGATTGAGGCATGGAGGCGTTCATTCATTTTCTACCCCTTTATTAGTCCATCTCTTGGTCGGGGGGGGGGGGGGGGGGGGGGGCTGTTAAGGAGAGTTGCCACCCAATGCTCATAGCACCAGTCCCTCGCTGATCCTCTGCAGGTGGCGGGTCCACAGGAAGACGGGACCCACATTGACTAAACTCATGCAGATGATGTTTAGAGAATCTGTTGGACTGCTCTGCGATGGGAAAAGCAGGAAGGAAGTGGTGGGCGGAGCTTTGGTGCTAAACACGTTAGCAGCACTTGTTTACAGTCACAGTAGAAACTCAGGGTGAAGACATATGTTCACAAGCACTGACCCCATTGTCAGCCCTGGTTTAGTCCTGGTTAAAGCCTAGTTTATACTCGCGCGGCGCGGAGCTTACGGAGGTGACGTGACGTTACTTGCGCAACGCGTTGGTCACCGCAAGGCCCTTACGTCGCCTGCCGCGCAGCATCAAAATTTTCTAACTACGTAAGGGTCACCGCAAGGAATCTCCGCTGTGATTGGTCCGTGTGTGTGTATTGGAAGGAAGCACGGAGCGGCTGCAGCAGGGACAATGGACGAGGCACTATGGAGCAGAGCTTTGTGCTTCGAAGGAAAAGCAGTTTGGGCTCAGAGCCTGATATACAGGAGACTGTGGACTATCTAACATATATATAACATATATATAACTTATATCTAACATATATATAACTTATAAACTGTGCAGTCGTTTGTTTTGCACTGTTCCTGTCTTTGTTTGAATCGTAGCTGCGTTTGTTGCTTTCCTCCTGCACTCGTAGTAAGTAGTAAGTAAGTAAGTAATTATTTATATACCGCCTTTTCACTGCAGATCTGAGTCTCAAAGCGGTTTACAATTGTTATTTTTATTGGGCATTTGTCTCTCACTCCACACAGAGATGGGAGGGGCCAGTACAGGAGGCGCATGCCAGAACTATTGGACATATTTTTAGCGGTAGGGGAAACCGGAGTACCCGGAGGAAACCTACGCAGACACGGGGAGAACATGCAAACTCCACTCAGAAAGGCCCTGGTCCGACCGGGATTCGAACCCAGGACCTTCTTGCTGAGAGGCGAGAGTGCTATCCACTCAGCCACCGTGCCGCCACTCGTAAATCGTTCATGTTTGTCTCAGATATTTACCACTATTATTGTTTTGCTGTTTGTGCTGAAAACTATTTAATAATAACTATGTTTCCAACAAGAACTGTGTCTTTATTCACAGCATCACAGTTGAAATGACTTATAAAATAATGAATCCATAAAACTCTCACATAAACCTACAGTAGAAACACGTGTAATGAGCTCAAACAGCTTTGTTTGCTATTGTTGTTCTGAAGAGGACAAAGTAGCAGCGTAAATAGGACCGCTCCTGTGTGATCGCCCTCATGTGGTTTGTTGTGGGATTACAACATTCTCCTCAAAACTCCGTAAGGGGAACACGCCAGTATAACATCAATTGTGCTTGCGTAGGTCCACCGCAACCGCTAACGTAAGCCACGCCGCGCAAGTATACACTAGGCTTTAGTCCTGGTTCCAATCCTGGTTCAAGTCCTGTTTAAGTCCTGGTTCAAGTCCTGTTTAAGTCCTGGTTCAAGTCCTGTTTAAGTCATGGTTTAAGTCCTGGTTTATGTCCTGGTTTAAGTCCTGGTTTTGGTCGGCATGGTGGTTGAGTGGATAGCACTCTCGCCTCTCAGCAAGAATGTCCTCGGTTTGATTCCCGATCGGAACAGGGCCTTTCTGAGTGTAGTTTGCATGTTCTCCCCGTGTCTGCGTAGGTTTCCTCCGGGTGCTGCAGTTTCCCCTACCACAAAAAAATATGTACAATAGGTCTGGCATGCGCCTCCTGTACTGGCCCCGCTCCCATCTCTGTGGTGAGTGAGAGACAAATGCCCCAAAAAACCAATTGTAAACCGCTTTGTGACTCTGCTCTGTGAAAGGCGGTATATAAATAAAACGTACTTACTTACTAGTCCTGTTTAAGTCCTGTTTAAGTCCTGTTTAAGCCATGGTTTAAGTCCTGGTTTAAGTCATGGTTTAAGTCATGGTTAAAGTCCTGGTTTAAGTCATGGTTAAGTACTGGTTAAGTACTGGTTTAAGTCCCGGTATAAGTCCTGGTGTCCTGGTTAAAGTCATGGTTAAAGTCCTGGTTCAAGTCCTGGTTAAAGTCCTGGTTAAAGTCCTGGTTCAAGTCCTGGTTTAGGTCCCGGTTAAAGTCCTGGTTAAAGTCCTGATTTAAGACCTGGTTTAAGTCCTGGTTTAAGTCGTGGTTCAAGTCCTGTTTAAAGTCCCGGTTTAAGTCCCGGTTTAAGCCCAGACCATGATTTGTCCTGGTCTGATATCTATTGAATTCTAAATGAACTCAATAACTCCTCAAATCACAACAAAAGTCGTATTACAAAGTTATTTTTCCGCCTTGAGAAAGACAAGTTTCTTTTAGAGCAAGAAACTTATTTTTTTCCAAACCACATGATTTTAGCCGATTAAAAACATGGCGGTTTTTCTGTTTTGATAAGAGGCAATAATCCAAACAGAACAGTGGGACAATTGACTTTAATTGAAGAGCGAATGAATCCAAGGATATCCAGCGTGGGAAGAGATATGTGGATCAATGAGCGCTGTGTGTTGCTGCTGTGTGTGTGTGTGTGTGTGTGGAGTTAATTGTGTCTCATCCGTCAGCGCCGGTCATAAGAAGCATTTTGATTGGATATACCAGTTTTGTAATAGCTGTTTTTTAGCTGGCGCTGGTTAAGTGGGGCCCAGTTAATTACAAGGACGGATTAAAAACGGAGAATGTCAACACGTGAAGAAGAAGAAGAAGTGTAGACACGGTGAGGCTCGGCGTAGATCCACTGCTCCAGCCAAGTCGAGCGAGCGATAAACGTTCGACACCGGCACTGGCGCGGAAAGAGCGAGAGGGAGAGAAATTGCTCTCGCTAATTGAACGGAAGTATGGGACACGAGCAAGAAGGAGGGCTTTGTGTTGTGATGGGAAATGTGGGCCGTTGCTATGGAAAAGTCACTCGCCATTCACAAAATAAATCTTTAGAATGGGGAAAAAAAGAGACCATGAACTATGAGGCTGAAGGGGTAAAAAGTATGACCAAATCAACTATTTATATAATATTAACTAAGAAGAAACTGATTCGGCTCGGAGGAAAGTGAGACAATGCTTAATAAAAGAAGGGTTTTTGTATTGTGATGATTGATATGTTCATGTGAAACAACATACAGAAATACAATATACAATATGTACAAAGTGCACTGTTGGTAGTTTGATGGGAATATGGTATGGTCTGCAGTCCAAAACTCTAAAGCCTAGTTTATACTCGCGCTGCGCGGAGCTTACGGAGGTGACGTCACCGCAAGGCCCTTACGTTGGCTGCCGCGCAGAAACTTAAGGGTTGCCGCTAGGAAGCTCCGCTGTGATTGGTCCGTGTGTGTGTTTTGGCGGAAGCATGAAGCATGAATGGACGAGGCACTTCGGAGCAGAGTGCTTTGTGCTTCGAAGGAACCGAAGGAAAAGCAGTTTGGGCTCAGAGCCTGATATACGCAGAGACTGTGGACTATCTAACATATATATAACTTATAAACTGTGCAGTCGTTTGTTTTGCACTGTTCCTGTATTTGTTTGAATTGTGGCTTATCGTGTCTGTTCCATTCCTCCTGCACTTATACATTGTTCAAGTTTGCCTCAGATATTTACCACTTATTGTTTTGCTGTTTGTGCTGAATACAATTCAATAATAACTATGTTTCCAACAAGAACTGTGTCTTTATTCACAACATCACAGTTAAATGAATTAAGAAATAATGAGTCCATAGAACTGTCACATAAACCTACAGTAGAAACACATGTAATGATCTCAAACAGCTCGGTTTGTTCATGTTTTTGTTCTGAAGAGGAGAAAGTAGCAGCGTAAATGAGACCTCTTTGGTTTCTCATGCAACTCCTGTGAGATCGCCATCATGTGGTTGGTTGTGGGATTACAACATTCTCCTCAAAACTCCGCAAGGAGTATAAATTAAATTGTGCTTGCGGACGTCCACCGCAACCGCTAACGTAAGCCGCGCCGTGCAAGTATACACTAGGATTAACTCAAGAGTATAATCTACAACGCGATGGGTTGTTGTCCGTGTGTGAAAGCAGCAGTAGTAGTTGGTTTGAATGTGTAGTCCAGAATATGAATATTGTCCCCAAAAGCGTTGGAAGTGAGTGGGTGAGTTATGTGGCTGCAGAGCCTTCTACCACATTCTCAGAATCAAAAAAATTCATACAGTGCTTTTTCGGACACTCAAAGACGCTCAAAATGTCATTATTCTTTCATTCCATACACTGACGTGATAATCTTTTACTGTGGCCACAGCTGCCCTGGGGCACACTGACAAGAGCATGACAAGAACCCTGATATTTTCAACTCCCTGATCTATTCAACAATGAATCTTGTTTGCATCACTCAGCAGTAGTTTATGTCCTTCCATCTGTTGTTTTCTTTCTAACTCTTTCCTTACCGTGGAAATTGGCAGACTGAAACTTTCACAAAGTTTGGCGTGACAAAGCACTTTCCCGGTGGTTTTTCCAGGGATTTTGTGCCGCAAATTCTCATCTGTGAATGTTTTTAACCAAAAACCCCAATATTTCTAAGATTATGAATAAATACTCAAAACCCCTTTTTCACTCGTGGACATCCTTGATGCTCTCTTTCTGGTCTCTCATTCTTTGGTCTCTCTCTGGTCTCTTTCTGGTCTCATGGTCTCTCTGATTGCTTTCTCTGTTTTTTCTCTCTGGTTTCTCTTTTGTCTCCGTCTTTAATCTCACCCTGTTTTTTTTATTTTATCTGGTCTTTCGCTTTGGTCCATCTCTGGTTTCTTTCTATGATTTTTCTCTCTGGTATCTCTCTTTAGTCTCTCTCTTTGGTCTTTTTATGGTCTCTCTGGTCTCTCTCTTTACTCTCACTCTGGTCTCCCCTCTGATGGTAAGCCTGACCATTCTTCTTGACAAAACCCCTCCAGCTCCAGTACATTCCAGGGCTGTCTTGCACACAAAACATTCAAACATTCTCAAATCCACTTGGTTTCCGATTCTCAGCTCAAACCCCATTTCTCCGCATTTCTTGGCGATTTTTAGCCTCTTCGACTTCAGCAAACGCAGGCTTGTTTTGTTTACGTAGCTCGCTGTAATGTGTGAAATCTATTATACATTCCAACCTGCTTCGCCGCCAACGTCAACAAACAAGCGCGCCATTGTCGAGGCGGCAGGAAATCGCAGGGGAGCGAGTTAAATTTGCACCTCAGATGGACCCAAGGCAGAGTATGGATCCAACAACCAAACATTTGTTGTCTTGTATGGATGGAAATAGACACGATTGTTATTACTGTATCTACCTGGGAGTGTGTCTGGGACGGCAGGAGGTGCAGAGGGGAGAGGTGTTGTTGTTTCGGGAGGAGGAGACTTGCGAACTGAGCTATTGTAGCTAAATGTCAGAGGAGGCCTTCTGCTCCCGATCTGACTAATAGGGCTGCCCACACTTTCTCCAACGTGCTATAGATAGAAGGACTGACTGTGCATGTGACCAGCAGCAAGCAAGCTCGGACCTGCAAACCCGCGTTTTTGTTTTTTATCATGGCTGGAGGAAGTGTGTGTGGATAGGGAAGTCTGGGCGTCTCTGCTTAGACTGCTGCCCCCGCAACCCGGCAACGGACAAAGCGGAAGAAAATGGATGGATGGATGGATCTTGGCTGGTTGTTTATCACGGGCGTTGCGTTCTAAAGATAACCGTCAATAATCAAAATCCGCTAAGTAACACACTGACCTGACTGTAAATATTAACAGATGTAGACACGCATATCTCCGCCGAAGAAACTAATGTGCCACCAAAAATAATACTTTGTTCAATCATCAGTAACGTTTTACTCTTGTTCTCTTCTACAAAATGAAAGGAAATGGTCCAAAACTTCAGAAAAACCTCCTCAGAGTCCAGTCCCTGTGCTCCTCTGAGTACCAGCAGAAGTCCAGTCCCTGTGCTCCTCTGAGTCACCTGTCATAGATGTACTTTAGTACAAGGCCCTGAAGAGACACACAGAGCTGCTTTAAAGACACTTACATTTGTTTACCGTCCACACAAAAAGGGAAAAAGGAGGGAAAGGAAATAGTCCAAAACTTCCCAAAGACGTCCTTCTGCCTCCAGACTCAACACACAAGTTCCTTTATGGACGTTGGTCTCTGCCCCTGTATGTGTTTTCAATCATTGCATTTCTTGAGTTTGAACTAATGCAGCTAAAATAACAGTCTTCCTGAAATAAGACAGATCAACCCAAACCCTTTGACAATGTTCAAATCCACTTCAAAAACAGTTGTGCATAAAACTGAAGGACTTTTTTGTTTTCACGCCCTGTGTTTTTGCAATGGTTCTTTTCTGGTTTTGTGTTGGGCTGTCGGTGAAGGAACTGTGAAGCACTTTTTACTTTTTGTACAAAAAGCGCTCTACTAATAAAGATTGATGGATTTGAAATGTATATTCTCCTTCTACACAAAACAAATCTTACTGTACATCAGAAGTCTGTAATCATTATTTTGAAAACTCTCTCTAGACTAACTTAATGAATCCTTTTCGGTATTTTCAAAAATTCAAAATCCGTTTTAAGAAAGTCCAGCAGTGGGATCAATGGGTCTGAATCTTTCATAGCCTTGTCTCCTCTAACAGACGACTGCAGTTCCACAAAAACATATTGGTATTTCTCCGCTGTTGCACCAGCATTGATTGCTTTGGAGGACACCCAACGTGATCAAAACAATTATACTCCGTTTCATGATTGCATTGCTCAGTCGGATTGGATGTTTTTCTCATCTATTGTATTTGAGGATTGCGTTGAAGCTCTGATCACTGTAGTACCAAGTGACTTTCACCTATTTCTACCATTGTTATAATAAAATTTTGCTATATCCAACCGTTATGTATTGAGGAATAAATGCCATGTGACATTTTTGAAGCCAGTACATATTCATCATCTGGTCTCTCTCTCTCTCTGGTCTCTCCCTATCTCGGGTCTCCCTATCTCGGGTCTCTCTAGTCTCTCTCTCTAGTCTCTCTCTAGTCTCTCTCTAGTCTTTCTCTAGTCTCTCTCTAGTCTCTCTCTCTAGTCTCTCTCTAGTCTCTCTCTCTAGTCTCTCTCTAGTCTCTCTCTAGTCTCTCTCTCTGGTCTCTCTCTCTGGTCTCTCTCTCTGGTCTCTCTCTCTGGTCTCTCTCTCTGGTCTCTCTCTCTGGGGTTAGGGTGTGTTTGTGCTTGTATATGTATCATTCATTTGCTCTTATTACAAATTGTACATATTGTATGTGGGGTAGGTGTTATTTGAACTTCAACCTACTCCTTTGAGCAGCAAATATGGCAGTAATATCTTTTGTTGTTGTTGACGGCATAGATTTATTGCTTTTTAATGCTCAAATAAACCATACAAAAAAATGAAAATATAAAAAGCAGCCGATTACGGCAACTGCGCACACAATAATTTAAACGTTGATTCAGAGTGGTTCATGTGGCACTAGTTAAAACATGTCAAACTTGAGGCAACGAGGACAGCACAAAAGCAACATGCAGAGGATGCATCATGTTGATTTGGCGAAGTGGGAGCAGCAGAGGTACATTCAACACCACAAACATGATCTGGCATCTGAGACTGAACATGACTTAGGGTTACACCAGGGGTCTCCAACCTTTTTCAATAAGAGAGCTACTTTTATACAACAGAAGAGGCAGAGAGCTACTCCTTTTTGCACTCGTAATAAAATATCTATGTAATAATTCGGACAAAACACAAAAAACATAAATACCATAATACCCTATATCTATACTTATACTAGATAGGTAATGACTAAAAACGCATTCATTCAAGATCATTTGTTGAATTCTAAATCCTTTGGGGAGCTACCTGACAGAGCTACTGGTAGCTCCCGAGCCACAGGTTGGAGACCCCTGGGTTACACTATATTATAATTCGGTAGATTTGCATCCGTTGTCCCTCATTCACACTCACAAACACACACTCATTCACCCTGAACTATTGTATGTTTTAGTGGGAGGTGAAACCGGAGCAAACCTACACAGACACAGGGAGAACATGCAAACTTCACTCATAAAGGCCCTGTTCCTACACAGACACGGGGAGAACATGCAAGCTTCACTCAGAAAGGCCCTGTTCTGACCGCGATTCGAACCCGGAACCTTCTTGCCGAGAAGCGAGGGGGCTAACCACTCAGCCACTCAGCCACCATGACACATACTCACCAGCTGGATTCAGTGACGTTCTGATCTCCGGTGGGTCCCGGGCAGCCTCCTCCTCTGGTCCTGGTCTGCCCGGCTGGCACAGGTCCTGGAGGGCAGGCTGGGGGGATGGATGGGGCTGTCGCTGACTCACTGCAGCCCAGATGGTCCACTGTGTCAGGGGAGAGGTGCTGGACAGGAGGCCCCCCTGACGTCACTCTGAGGCGGGCCAAAACCAGAACCAAGACCGGTCTGTATCTCCTGCACCTGTGGACCTCAATTGGAACTAATGTATTATTGAAAAACACATCGCCTCATTTAGTGCTACCACAACAGTAGAACACAGCACCAGAAGCTAGCACCAGGAGCTAGCACCTCATTAGATTGATTCTTTATATTTAACATTTGCATTAAAACCACATTGGAATACATGTACACAATCCCAAGATAAAAAAAGTAAAGGAAACAAACCTGTGGAAAAAAAGCTGTTGGCAAAATGAGATGTGTCAACGAATGAGATCTTCTGCCAAAGGGAAGAAGCTGGAACATGGCTTTTCCAAGAGCCAGAAGAGTCAAGAATTATTCTAGAAACTCGGATTAAGAGTCTGGATTCATAAAAACCTCCAGAACAAAGAGCTCAAAGTTCTCTCTCTGGTCTCTCTCTCTCTGGTCTCACAGCTCACAGCTCTCTCTGGTCTTTCCTTCTTCTGGTCTCTCCCTCTCTGATCTCTCAATCTCTGGTCTTTCTCTGGTCTCCCTCTCTCTGGTCTCTCCCTATCTGGTGTCTCCCTCTCTGGTCTCTCCCTCGGGTCTCTCCCTCTCTTCTCTCGGGTCTCTCTCTCTGTACTTTCTGCGGGAGAGATCAGACACTTCTATCATTATTACCGTCAAACAAACATACATTTCTCCAATTCTACAAAAGTTGATTAGAGTTGGATGCTGCCCTCTCCTTACCCTTGGAAGAAGCAGATTATGCACTCTGAGTCCAAACATTTTCAGTATTTGGCTTAAATTGTGGCCATACCTGCAGATGAAAGCCAGATCCCGTCAGTCCTCTGAAGCTAAGCTGGGCAGGGCCTGGTTAGCACTGTGATGGGAGATTTCTTGGAACACCATGTGCCACAGTGCTGCGGCTTAGGCAAGACACTTCACCCACACTAGAATGGGTTTGGTGTGTGTGTGAGTGGCTGGTGGTGGTGGGAGGGGCCGATGACACATAGATGTTGCCTCGCTTCTGTCAGTGTGCCCCAGGGCAGCTGTGGCTACAATAGGAGTTTATCACCAGTGTGTATGGAGTGAATGAATAACAACATGTCTTTCAGAGTCCAAAAAATACCTTACTATTGTTATTATAAAAAACAAAAAAGTGTAGTATTTTACTTTTGTGTATCTTTCAGTAAAAATACAAACTAAAACCTAAATATTTGTGGTTGTACGATGATGAAAATGACAAAACACAGTTGCAGGGCGCTGTAATTTGGGACCTTTTCCACCACTGTCATGTCGTGCAGAGTCTTTCCAAAGCCTTGTTAACAGCAGCTGACATTTGATTCCACAGATAAGTACAAGGAAAAGGCATCAGCGACGCTCAAACTGAAGCATGTCCCCGCTCCGTCCGCAACATGGAGCTCGATCGATAAACAAGGAGGAGCTTTCAGCGCTCGGATGTTTAGCAACAAACAGTGTTGTCCCAAAACGCAGCCTCCACAAAGTGAGCAACAAACAAACAACCATCAGTCTGTGGGATTCTCACACAAATCAACGTTTATTATAAAAATACATTCATCCTGTACATTATTGAATTCATTCACGTGTTGCAATGTTTTAAGTCCATACATTTTCCTTCTGTCCTCAAAAACCCACATAAAAAACCCTGCTAGAACAAGAATTCATTTTTGTCTGGTTTTAATATTTTTTAAACCAGAATATGAATTGTTTGCTCAGTGGAAATGTTGTTTGAATGAAGCTTGTTTGAGTTCCCCACTTTTTATTTTCTTGTATTATTCATTTTTCTGAACCGGTCCAGTTCTGTCTGGATTGAACTGGAACTGGACCAACATTTTAAGAAAATATTATATGTTAACCCTTTAGGCGCCAGAGTTTTTTCACGAAAATATACAATTTTGATTTCAAGATTTCAAAAAGCTATAACTTTAAAATGGTTTGAGATAAAGGCATGCTGTAAATTAGAAATATCTTCAGTCTGAACCAAACTTTGGGATGGAAGTTGATTCGTCATCTAATTTGCATATTGTGACGTCATCAAGGTGGCGGCCATTTTGGAAAATGTTAATTATTGTATAAAGACTTCAAAAAGCTGTAGCTTGGGAGTTTTTTTAGATCAGGGAATACTATAAACAGTCAATGTGAACTATCTTTAGTATGAAATGAATTTGGGATAGAAATAAATTCCCTGATCCAGATTATAGATCATGTTTTAGCACTGGTTCGCGGCCATATGGAATTGTATTATTTTCAAAGACCCACAGAACATGTCAGATCGTCTCAACAACATACAACAGGCTCTTCAACACTTCTGATCCACTTTTGTGGATTATTTTCTCTCAAGAACTGCCTTCATCCTCATCATCGCTGTTGGTAAAGGCAGTGAACGCGAAAAGCGATGTGTTTTTTTCCCGCGGCTTCCCCGCGACTTCTCCCGCGTCTCCCGTGTTCCCCGTGGATGTTTATCCCCGCTACTTTCTCCCACATGCCCGGTGTTATGATGCCCCTGTCCCCTCCACCACGGACCCTGCTTGGCGTTCACAGAATGCTTCTACCGCGGCCACACGGAGGACAAGCTGCCGCTGTACAGGGGCTGATTGTGGACTATATGGTGCGGTCTCCTCGTCACCAATAATGTCCGTGTCTGCTTCACTGGACACCTGTGTGTCTTCCTCCTCTGAATCTGAGTGAGCCAGTACCAGACCAAGTACTTCTCTGGTACTGAAGACCTCGTGAGTAAAAGAAAAAACACTCTCTCCCTCTGCTCTGCTCTCGCTCCTCTCAGCTCTACCGCTGCTGCTTCGCCTCCGCACCGCTGCGCCGCAGGTGTTTTACGAACTCAATTTACTCTAAAACGTTCAATATAACCACACCCACAAATGCTGCTCATATTACAGGCACACATGTCCACTAACCCCTGGTGAAAAGTATTAACAAGATTCTGCACCACATTTTTACATACAGCCTGTTTAAGTGAGCAATGTTGCTTGTCGCAATATTGCGACTTTGGCGCTTAAAGGGTTAAATGTTTTATTTCTTTGTATGCCAATTGGATTTTGGGTTCAAAAGTTATAAATGCATATATATGTGTGTGTGTGTGCGTATGTGTATTTCATTATTAGCACTGTCACTTCTCATCAAGAAGGTCCTTGGTTTGAATCCCAGTTGAAACAGTGCCTTTCTGAGTGGATTTTGTATGCTCTCCTTGTGTCTGCGTGGGTTTCCTCCAGGTGCTCCGGTTTTCCCCCACTACTAAAAACATGTTCTATATTTCTGGCATGCGCCCCATGTGTGGAGTGAGAAACAAAATGTAAAACGCTCTTTTGGTCTGTGAAAGCCGCTTTATAAATAAAAACTTACAAACTTACTAGTTACCGCTTTGGTGAATCTAAACCCCCTGTAGAACCGGCCCTGCTCCAAACCCACACATGCAACCAACGCCGAGAGAAAGTAAAGCATCACTCCTCTCTCTCTCTCCCTTACTCTGTCTAAATCTGTTTCCATGACGACGAGCTTGCATTATCCGCCGGTCAGCAGAGCCATTAGCGTAGCCCTATAGCCTCCGTCTGTAACCAAAGTCATTTAAGGCTCATCGCACTCATTTGGGACCAGAAACATCATTTTTGCTGGTTTTCCCTCCCCACCCCACAGACTACTGGTTCTGGTTTTTGGTGATCGCAGTCGACGGGAGTAAGATGGATGAGATCGGAGCGTTTTAAACTCGGGTGATGAAATATTTGCAGGGCAGCGAGCGGGACAAGCCCTGCCCCAGATATCGGTCATTTTTGCATAGAAATGTTTAGATACAGTGGCTTTCAGTAATGAAGGAAAAACATGAGAAATACTGCATTTTACTTCAGTTATGGACAAGGCCAAATGTAGAAAAATAGAAAATAAAAATCAATTAGTACAGCTGATTTCACTGTGTTTAATTCAAACTTGGGAAAATAAAAATTGGGATCATGCTACAGGTTCAAAGTTCTATTCAGCAGTTAAGAGAAAAAACAAAAGGTTTTTTTTTTGGGTTTAAGAATTAAAGGAACTTTTGTGTTAAAACAAGGCAGGACAGAATTGCATAGTAGTTCATATATTGATTATTTGAAAGAAATTGTATGGTTTTAATGCACTATTTGCACTGAACGTGTAAGAAAGTTGTAGAATTTGTGTCAATCCAAGAAAAATTATATACATTTGATAAAGTTTACATGTGATAACTTCAATCAATGTTAGTCACTGGGACTCATACTGACTGATGTCTCAAAACCCAAAATGCCTTAGTCCAAAATACACTTCCAGGTCTGTTTGTGACGAGAGGGATGAGGAGAACAATGTAGTGCTATGGCTAAAATCTGAAAAAGTTTTATTTTACACATTATGTCTCTGTATTGAGTAATATTGTGAGTAATAGTAGTGTAGTAGTATATGTGTGGACTATGTTTGAGAAAAGGCAGTGCTTGTTTGAGTCTGGTACGCAGCATCACCCAAACTCTCCATTAACACTAGAACACCCAGAATCCTGAAACTACTCCAACTCCGCCATTGGAGCCGCCATTTTGACTGCTCCCATTCCAATCAATGGAATTCTGAAAAGAATCCATTCATTACTTACTTGAAAGTCAGTAATCTATTATGTTGTCTATCTTTACTCACTTTTAACAAGTGCTAAAACAAGTGTGACTTGATATACAGCATAACAGTAGCTTGTAGAAAGGCTAGCTAATGCTAACGGCTAGCTAATACTAACAGTAAACAGTGCGTTGCCATGGAAACTGCTCTGGGAGTTAAAAATCACATTTCACAGGTTATTCAATAAAAACAATGACATAGAAATAAACTATGCATAGAGTCTTAAAGTCACACATTTAGGGCAATCAATGAAGTACACAGGGCGAGTAGTTATACCGTCAAATTGACTGCTCTGGGAGTTAATGCTATATCTTAGGGCTGGGCGATATAAACGGTATAAGCGGTATGCGATATAAATTTGGCCCACGGTAGAGATTTTTGTTATACCGCCATATTGCAATAGGTCATTATGTCATCAAATTGCGCAGGCTCTGACGCCAGCAGAAAGGACCAAAACAAACCGGCATTCAGCAGCATTAGCCTAGCACTATTAGCCTAGCACTATTACTATTAGCCTAGCACTATTAGCCTAGCAGCATTAGCCTAGCAGACACCACTGGAAACAACGAACAACAGCACGGCATTAACACAGTGTTTCTGTCTCTGTATTGTTGTCACCGCGGCCCCAGCAGAGGTAAATACACACACAGTAATCACAGTTTAAGAGTCTACCTTTTGGCCAATCAGTGTCAAAGGGGCGTAAGCTCGAAGCGCCAGCGTGAGCCAAAATAGATCCATGCGTGTGCCGTGTCCGCAGCAACACAGCAGAAGTTTGGGAAAGTTAGCGTCAGATTCGGACCTCCGCGGTCAATATCTCACGAAAAATACTTTGTTAAACAAAATTAATTGTGCCAAAATGATCATTTACATCAATTGTTCAAATCCAATGCGCTGTTTTAATGAACATAAATCCATTGAATCATCCAGCGCAGAGAAAAGCGCTTAGGGAGCGTCAACAAATGTCATGACCAGCTTTGTAAACGAACAATAGCTTTTACTGAAGTCATGTACCTGCACAAAACTCTCAGACACTATAAATAATGACCATGTCTAACTCCTACAGACTTTGATTTCAACATGAGTTTTTTATATTTTAAATGAATGCATATGTTTTTCTTTTTAAAAATTGCTTTTACAGTGAATGGTATTTACTGTAACATACATAAATAATGTATGTTACAACATTTGTCTCTTTATTTGTCTCACAACTGAATAACTCAAAAAAATATATATATTAGATTCTAATATATAAATAAGTAACAATCTTGACTATTTTATGCAAGAACCTGCTAGACCTATATTGAAATTCACACACCAAATTATACCGCAATATATACCGTCTACCGTCTGTGTCCCAAATTATACCGCAATATGAATTTTAGGCCATATCGCCCACCCCTACTATATCTAATCACATTTCAGATTATTTCATAAAAACAATGACATTGAAATGAACTATGTATCAATTCTTAAAGTCACACATTTAGGGCGATCAAAAATGTGCCCAGGTTGAGTAGTTATACCCGTCAAATTGACTGCTCTGTGAAATGTGATGAGATTATTTCATGAAAACAATGACATGGAAATAAACTGTATCGAGTCTTAAAGTCACACATTTAGGTGCAATCAAAAAGGTACACATGCTGAGCAGTTATACCCGTCAAATTGACTGCTCTGGGAGTTCTAGTGTTAATCAATGAGCTCTCAGTCTTCAGTGATTAAAGAAGAAGTATTCCCAGACTTATCCTTGCAGCAGCGTCTTCAGCTCCTGGTCCATCCCGTGCGTGGTGAGCTGCTCCAGGCTGTAGTAACGATGGACCACGGCTGCCTCCGTCACCACCACCACCCGGAGCCCGTGGGTGTCCTGCCCCAGCTGGCACCCCACGGCCGAGCTCACCACCATGTCCAGGCCGTCGTGGCACCCGCCCGCGTTCCGATGGTAGTGTCCGGAGAAGACGGCCCGCACGCCTGCCACACGGGGAAGAGAGAGCGGGAAATGTGGATGTTCGGGTTTTTAAGTAATTCTAAACTTGAAAATAATAAAAAAATATATATATGAAAATAAGTAAAGTACGACTTAAAATAAGAAAAAAGCTCTGACAATAGCACAAGAAAAAATGACATGACAAAATTTCTGAAAAAAATAAAAATAAATACTTGATTCTAAAACATAGATAAAGTATTATTTACTTATTTCTTAAACATTTATGGAGATTTTTTTTTTTAAATATAGCATAACAAAATTTTCTAATTTTTAAAACAAGCTTAAAAACTCACTGCTCAGACTAATTTTAAGATCATGAAGTATCATCTTAAAACTAATAGAATAATCTTACATGACAAACTACATTCAAGAAACAAAAGGCGGATTTACACATTTCACAAAAATATTTTTATGTATGAGGTCCAAATATGGGCATTGGTCGTGTCCTATCAGTATTGCCGTGTACGCCTGACGACCGGTCCAGCCCTGGTTGGTACAGCACTTTAGCAGCAGAGAATATGACCAGATAAATAATAGTTATAATCATTTTGGGATTAAATGATGTTCTTTCTTTGTTTCTCATAAAAAGGGTCCGTCTTTCAGTCACAGAGATTTTTTCAAACGCTTCAGTCTGAACGAGAACGAGGGGAATGAGCTTTTGCGCCAACTCTGAAATTGTGGATCAGTGGTTTTGCTTTGGAGGAAAACCAATTTACACTTTCCAATAAGTTTGTGCTATTTTGGGCAATTTTATGTTTACAAAGACAAAACCACTCCCAGAAAACTGGCGTCAGGGGAAAAGGAGTCGTAAAAGATGCAGGAAGAGCTGAGAAATACTGACGCTTAAGGAAAACCCAAGACAAGGATGAGTGTCTTTCAGCTCCATTCAGATCTATTTCAGACGTTTACGACAATTCTGACAATTTCAGACATTTGGAAAATAAGGTCTGAAAAAGAGTACAACGAGAATGTATAACAAGAACTGCTGAGTCACTGATAATAATTCACTAGTCACTTTGTCACTAGTCACATTACCCGTTATTAGTATCACTGCATTATTACATATCCATCTGATATTTCTGCCATTCAAGTCACTTTACCTGATGATATTATTATTATTTCTGATGTTTATTCTGCTCATATTCATATATTCTTATTCTCCACTGCTAAAGTACAATAAACACATCTGTAAATACTTCTGAACCAAGTGCAATTACTGTATAACCCCAGAGTTTATTTTATTTTATTCTTATTTTAATTCTATTGTCTCTTAAACGTTTGACTCTGTTTGATGTGTGCAATCTGAGTGCTCTAACTTCCTTCTTTCTCTGCTGTAATGTGCAACGATGACACTGACATTTCTCCACTGTGAGACGAATAAAGGAGTATCTTATCTCATCTTAAAAGGTCTAAACCAGGGGTGCTCAATACGTCGATCGCGATCTACCAGTCGATCGCAAAGGTAGTATTGGTAGATCGCATTAAAAAAATAAAAAATTACACATTCTAAACGAATATATACAAAAAACTCCGTTAATGCATTTGTGTGTAGACAGAGAAAACCGGAGTTTTGCGTTCTCGCACGCCACAGTACCCCCCTAAATTCCTCTGATCACTGAAGCATGGATCATACTACCTTAAAAACTGTTCGCTGTGAGATGCTCGCAGCAGCGAACATCCTCGCTCCACATCAGAGAGCAGCAAAGTGATCGCGGGGACTCACGCTAGAAAACAACTAAACCAGGACTAAACCAGGACTAAACCAGGACTAAACCAGGGCTGAGGACGGGGTCAGTGCTTGTAAACATACGTCTTTACTCTGTGTCTTCTATGACTGTAAAAGTGCCGTTACCGGCGTCTGCATCAGAACTCCGCCCACTTCTGTGTTTTTCCCCAACGCAGGACAGGACGTAAGAGACGCACATGTTTGGAATGTTACGAATGTGATTGATAACGCAGATGTGTGGATGCAAATTATTTTATAAACTGAGGAGGGGAAATATTTGGATTTAAAAAAAAGAGTAAACTCGGGTAATGACAAAAAATGTACATAGGTAATTGTGTTGTGTTATATTGGCTCATGCGGTTTTGCATGTACATAAACATACATTGTAGATATAAAGAATATTTTTTGAAATATATGATTTGCATTTTTGTAGTAGGTAGATCATTTTGACTTGATCCTTTTATGAGTAGCTCGCATGCTGAAAAAGTGTGAGCACCCCTGGTCTAAACTATGGGATGAAAATGTAAATCAAAGACTAAATATTACTAAAAATGTAAATTCTGCTCGGATTTAAAAAAAATCAATCAAATCAAATGTTAAACCTTAAATAGCCTAAAAGACATTTTCTACTAGATGTAATTATTTTCCTATAGATATTTCATTTTTTTTTTTTTCTTACTGTGTTGTTGCTGTTATTTCTTTTTAACTATTTATACACATTTCAAATAGGTGCTTAAAAATATATGTATGTGCACTCAACTGTAGCATACCTATCATAAATATGTATACACAAATATTGTGTAATGCTTAAAAAGTCTGTACTCTACCAATGAAACACAATGAAGTATTAAAAAGATTTGTCTGTCACATAAAAAAATACATTTACTCCATAACATTGATAATTTTCTGCTCTCTGCTTCACAATCAACCTGTTTGAATAATATTCTTCAAGTTTCCCAAAAACTCAGGATCAATTTTGATTGCATGTTTTTGTGTCATTATTTGTAGAAACATACAATATTAACATTTGCAAAACAATTCACTGCAGGTCACAACAGAAATCCAGAGAGTGGGATAGTCCTGAATCATCTCTGTGCATGATCAACAGTCGAGGGATTCAGGTGAGACATTTGGAATAGTTGCAGCAACGCGAGGACAGTGGGCGTACTCTCTCCGCACTCTTCAATTATTCATAAGGACTGGATCAAAATGGAGGATTTGGACGTGTGTATTTATACAGTGGGTTGAACTCATTTACAGTCCAGACCTGGGGCACTTCTGTCAGGGCCATGGTCTGTCCGAGACTTCTGCTGCTATTAATGTGTTTGTGGAACTGCGAGAGATGGCTCCAAGCGTTTTCAGACAAGTTTAAACTGTGTGGAGTTTTTCCTGCTGAAGAAGGCGGGGCCTGAAGGGTCCAGATGCTGTGGGACATTTATCCATTTGCTATATCCTTAATCTGTGTGTCTTGTTTTGGCCGTAGATTTTGTTTAACACATACAAAAGATGCAAAGTCACATAGAGGGACTGAATCTAGTTGTTATTCTTAGAAAATAGGGAAATGTATTTTTTCTTAATTTGGGCAACGTTAAAAAAATCACTGTAAAAGCTTGTATTTTTTACTGTAAAACAAAGCACCTGCTGCTTCTTAAAGTCCAGAGAGTTGAATATTCCAGAATCGTCGGGAAGGACTCTACTCAATTCAATGTATTTTTCATAGCCCTAAATCACAACAGTAATTGTCTCAGAGGACTCAAAGTTGTTGATTCCTCAACAACAGATCACAGACTCCAACAGTTAAACACACAACATGCAATATTAACAAACACATTGGAGCCATTGGTCCATAGGGAGCTAAGTGACCATTGTCCATTTATGCCCCAGATCATCACTGTCCTTAAACATGTGGTCGGCAAATCCCGGCCTGCGGGCCAGATGCAGCCCTCTCAATGCTTCTACCAGGCCCCTGAGCCCTCCCTCAGTTTGCACTAATATAGTATAAAGACGATTTGATCCGCTCCATGCTCTGCCATGATACATAATATTCAGAAAAATATAGTTAAGTGTAAAAAGTTTAGCCAGGGAAATAACATTGGAACCATAGACTGTATATATTAACGGACATAGTCACGCTTATTTCTGCTGTTCTAACTAATGGGCCAAAAATTGGGCTTTCATGGAGTGATTCAAAATGGCAGCGGGGGCTGGAAAATGTGAAAAAATGCATCTGCGCATGCGTCAGCCGGCACGAGCCCCATTCATTTAACGAGTGCCTTTAAAAATCCATCCATCCATCCATTTTCTTCCGCTTTATCCGTTGCCGGGTCGCGGGGGCAGCAGTCTAAGCAGAGACGCCCAGACTTCCCTATCCACACACACCTCCTCCAGCTCGTCCGGGGGGACCCCAAGGCGTTCCCAGGCCAGCTGAGAGACATAGTCTCTCCAGCGTGTCCTGGGTCTTCCCCGGGGCCTCCTCTCGTGCCCGGGGAACACCTCCCCAGGAAGGCGTCCAGGAGGCATCCTGAACAGATGCCCGAGCCACCTCAACTGGTTCCTCTCGACGTGGAGAAGCAGCGGCTCTACTCCGAGCTCCTCACTCTATCTCTAAGGGAGCGCCCAGCCACTCTGCGGAGGAAGCTCATTTCGACCGCTTGTATCCGCGATCTCGTTCTTTCGGTCATTACCCAAAGCTGACCTTTAAAAATCCACAGCGAGTAAACTAGACTGGTCCAAAAAAATTCACCCCCCTCAGCATTGACACACATGTGGAATCCTGTAAAGACGTTTTCGAGAGGTAAGAAGATGCTATATGTTCGCATTGGCTAATTCTTATTCCGGGTCCACCCCCATCGGCCCAGGGTGGTATTGCAGCATGTCAGCGCACATCATTTTGGCCACTTTTGAACCGGGACCCACCCCCACTTATTGGAACACATTTTTCCCACTGGCCCCTAATAGCGGACTGAAATTGTGGCCCTGAGGAGGAAAGGTATGCCCACACCTGCCTCCTCCTGCATCGGCATGGACTATTCCAATCTACTATTGTTAAATCAAAATTTTGTATTGTCCTTCCACACAACTGCTGTCTTGATTTTGAGCTGTACAAAATAACCCAATTGATCTGATCCCTCTTGGGGGATTACCAACACAATTACGCTACAAGTCACACTTACACACAGAATATTGTTTTCCTACGGCGTCTTTGGAAAGGTTACACAGAAACAAACTCGGAGATCTCAATGGGAAATGAGAAGTTGCATATTCAGTGCGCTCTGTAGCGATGCTTGTTTGTGACCGTATGCCATCTGTGTTTAGTGAGTAATGATATCCATAATTACTAGGAGTCTCCTGTGACTGAAATGCAGCTGTAATAAAAAAAAAGCCGGCAAAGTGAGGCCTCAACCTGATGACTCATTTTGCTGATTCGGTGAAGAGCAAAACACACAGTAAACGTAAACAATAACCCTGCGATGCTAGTGATAAACGAGGCGGCTTCAAAGCACATGTAAAGATTTCCCCTGTTGAGTAATCTAATGATAAACTCCACTATGAGAGGAGCGGTGTGGGAGGAGGACTGCATATGTGTGTATATATATATATATATATGTGTGTGTGTGTGTGTGTGTGTGTCACTGCTGCCAATGATGATGATGATGATGAGAGGCGCCCACACAGGCAGTGGTCAAAGCCCCACGCACCAGCCGGGGCACTCCCAAAGCACCGCACATGCACAAGAGTCAACACATGAGTCACTTTGAGGCGCCTATTCCGGGCCGTCGTCAAATACCGCACACTATGAGCACACACTTTTCACACTTAAAAACATAGCAGTGAGTGCCGAGAGCGACGATCCCTGAACAACAAAAGCACTCGGTCCGTTGGCATTTTGATGAAGTAAAGGGAGTTTTTATTTTTGTAACACAAAACATAATAATATTGCCATTTCTGGTCCGTTGTGCGATTATACAGCCCAAGTGCTGGATCTATAGCTTGTCCTGAGCAGATCTCTCTCTTAATGTGGGCTTCTCTGAGGTTTCTCACTTGTTCCCGATGCACCGATTGTGATATTGAGCCCATACTGACGTTTAACATAACAATTTTGCTGATGTTTATTTCTTTTTATTACTTATATATACAAATGGCTTGGCTGCTTTGAATTGTTTTTTTTTTCAGCTTCATGCAATCTCTGTACACCGCCTTATCCTTACTTCTCAAATGTCCGATGAGCTTCTTTGTGTGTGGTTTGTGTGAAATCTCACTGAACACAAATTGCAAACTGCATAATGCTCAACAATTCTGATACTTTAAAATATTGCCAAACGACCGCCGCCCTTTTCTGAGTTTCTTCTTCTGAGGAAAGTGAGTGGACATCCTCTACCGATATCTCTTTGCATGCTCCTATCATCTGCAAATGTAATTTTCTCTTTTAACCATTTTAATTCTTTGATCTGTTGTTGGTGAATCAGGAACTTTGTTAAGCCCTCCTGAGGACTGCTGTTCTGATTTAGGGCTATGCAAAAACATGCGACTCATCCCTAAAACGTGATAGAGACAATAGTCCTAATCCCATAAAACTAAAATGATTTGAGATTATTTGCACTGGTTTCCTGTTAGTTTTAGAATTTATTTTAATATTTTATGGTTTGTTTTTAAAGCTTTGAAAGGATTGGCCCCACAGTACGTCTCGAGCTTCATCAAAATGTATCACTTGCCCGGGCTGAGGTCCGAGGGCCAGCTCCAGCTCGTGGAGCCAAAGACTAGACTTAAAACTCGGGGGGACAGGGATCTCTCTGTGGCTGGACCAAACCACCCCCGCCCACATCAAATCTGCTCCCTCATTGGAATGATTTAGGTCTGGTTTAAGACCCACTTTTACGCTCTGGCTTTTAACACCGAGTGATTTGGGTGGTCTTCTATTTTATTTATTTTATTGTTTTATGTTTATTTATGTATATAGCTAATTTTTGTTATTTAAAGTGATTGTCTGGAGTTTGTCAGAAAAAAAGAGATTAATTTTAATACTACATTTTCATGACAAAAATAATATTTTAATGCACAAAAAAAGCGATAAAGTAAACCCGGAAGTAACTATTATCATTACAACATTATAAGACACATCTGCAGAGGATCTGATTATGGATATAGGTTCAGTATATAAATGATTATGGATATAGGTTCAGTATATACATGATTATGGATATAGGTTCAGTATATAAATGATTATGGATATAGGTTCAGTATATAAATGATTATGGATATAGGTTCAGTATATAAATGATTATGGATATAGGTTCAGTATATAAATGATTATGGATATAGGTTCAGTATATAAATGATTATGGATATAGGTTCAGTATATACATAAGTACCTCAGCGCGGATGTTCAGAATTCTTTGTTCAGTTTTCACGTAGTTTCAGAGCCTAATGGAGGCTTGATTCGGAGGTTCTGTGAAAACAAACAACTGAGCATGAGCAGCTACGAGCATGAGCAGCTACGAGCATCAGCGCCGATAATTGACAGCCCTTGGCATGACTCGATTGGTTAAAGTTTGAGCTATAGCTAAGAGAAGGGAAGGCGGGACATACCTGTAATATTAGAATTCATAAAATGACTTATTTTATATCAACAGGGTTCGTACAGATTTCCTCTTAAGGTTTTCCATGACTTTTCCATGACCCTTAACCAATTTTCCATGGCCAAAAATTACTCAGTCAATTTCAATTGTTACTTGCATTCATTTGTTGATTTTGTGCCTAAACACATTTTACAGATGTCTTACATTTTATGGAAGACATTTTATAGATGTCTTCCACCACATTTTTCCTCTCAAAGTGTGTTAACCAGGGTGCAATTGAGTTGCAAAACAACTTTCAGTTGATCACTTTTTACTAAGTCATTCCTGCTGCTGCCTCTAGAGGGAGCTCTAGGTACGCTGGCCAGCTCAGGTCTATGTGTCAGATCACTATTTTATCATTAAATAAAAAATACTTAATAAAAGGTTGGGTAACCAAACATTGTTTTTATTTAGCCTAAATTCAGCATGCAAAGTCAACTTTTTATCAAAAATATTAACTGTTGTACCTTCAATACATTCAAGAACAAAAAGTAACCATGCAATTACTTCCAACAATAAAATACACTCAAAATGGTAGCAATGTATGTACTGCTACATTTCTGCATTGCATTACAGACTAACTGAAGTGAAAGTAGTGTCTCAGTACAGGTAAATATTGTAATAAAACAGCTTCAGTGCTTTAACTTAAGTTCGAGTAAAAATAAAGTGTCTCTCACTACAGACTAAGAAGGCTTCCCCTGTTCATTCTGAAATATAAAATAGCTGCAGTACTTTAACTGTAATTCAAGTAAAAAATAAAGTGTCCCAGTACAGACTGAGTAGGCCTATATTGCCATGTTAAGGGTTAAATGTAAATAAAATAAAAAAAGTTCAAGTAACAATAAAGTGTCCCAGTATTGCAGGCCAAGGTTTGCAGTTAATTCTTCAAGACACATAAATAGCCAGCTCCAGTGCATTTAGTTCAAGTAATAATACAAAATAAACATATCAAAAAGCCTAGTTAGTACATTTTCAGTGTGATATAGTGAGTAAGCAGGCCTATATTCTGTAAAGGTCTTAGGGCATTTATAGTTTATAGCTCATTCTTTGGTTTTCATCTCAAGAAGCTTGTCGTCCATTTGCTTATTGAGATCCTGTAGAGAGATTTTCTTTTCCTTAGCCGTGCGGCGCAGACTGTTTGACTTTGTTATGAAGGTTATGTTGCCAGTGTTTTCTGCTTTGTTGGCGTAGTCGTCTGCTGCCTTCTCCAATGCAGAAACATCCTGATGTATTCTGGCTTTCTTCCTTTTTAGTTCATCTAGTTCATCTGTAAGTGCCTTTCTCTTTTCCACAGACCTTTGCTTCTCATTTGCCCTCCTCATATCATCCAAGTAGCTTTCGTATCGCTGTCGTGCACATGAAACTGACATGAAGAGTTCCTTGGTGAGAGGTACATTTGTCACATCACCAACAGCCCTAATGTGTCCCACAATGAGCCTCTGAGCAATGAGTGACTGTTCCTTTTGATTTTCCACAATTATCTCTTTGTTTATGGAAAACCCTCTCTCTACACTTGCTTGACCATGGGAAAGAACAAGCAGCATCTTCAAAACATGCCAAATCCTAGAAAAGGCTCTCTCTTTACCCATAGAGTCAAACAGTAGACTGTCCACTCTGTCTACCTTAGGGTCGAACTCCCGAAAACTGCTCTGCTGTGCAGCAAAATTGCAGAATTCCCCAAATTCACGCAGAACGTCATCACACATGGAGTCCTCCACACGATTCGCTTCCACAAGGTGATTCAGGATCCTCTTCATTTTCACAACACACATTTCTTTAGAACTGGCCATGCTCCTAGGGTTAAGACACTGCATGCTTCTTACAAGCTGGTGGTTCACAGGAGCCTTGTCCTGTAGCTTCTTCAACACTGTTATAAGAAAGACTTTACACTCCAACCTGATCTGCAGTGCCTGCCTTTCAGAGATCTGTTTTGCAAATTTGAGTTTGTTAAGCGACGCTTCAGCAGAAAACCCCAAGTTTACTTTCTGAACATCTTTCTGAAAGGTGTTGTCCTCAAGAGGAAAATGTAGAAGCTTCAGGATTGTGTTTGCCTCCTTTAGTGGCTTCTCTTTGCAAAATCGCCCCAATAGCCCTGTAACAAAAATAAAATAATTAATTCTGCTGGTCCTAGCAACAAACACATTTTTTTCACCATTAACTTTAAAAAGTGTGCAAATTCAAGTCATAATTTCACCTTCAAACAATACATTGTAAACAATTAAATCCAATATATAGCTTTGTAATTTGTTTACTAGTTTCAACAGTCATCTCAAGACAAACCTACAAGTTACTTAAAATTAACACAAGTATACACACAACCGCTTGTAAGAAATATAAATTATACATAATATTGCTTACCTTGCATAAGGTTGAACATATCATCACTGAAGAATGGCAACATGGGTCTGTCAGTCTGATAAAGGGTGAGAAAGGGGGCCATCTCTCTTGCAATGCTGTTAAATATCATCAGTTTCAGTGTAAACAGGGGATCTGTGGCACTGGCCTTGATGGCCTCAAAGGACTTGATCTTGGGCTCTGGTAGATCACCCTTCCGTACCATGTTCAAATATGTCAATATGTGAGGCCAAAGTTTTAGCGCTCTCTCGGATACCGTGACATTTTCCAGCCATCTGTGTTTGCAAAACTTCAGCATTGCGATGCTACACCCAGTAGCGTTGATGAAGTCCTCATGGCGAGCAGGAGCATCGTGAAATAGCCAATACAAACATAAGAGCGAGTGCTCAACGTCCCATCCCGCTGCGCTGGACCCCGCTCTGAAAGCGTTGTGTAGTACGTGCAGACCACAAGAGCCAATGTTTAACAGCGACTTGTCCACCTGTTTTTGCATCTCTTTTTGAATCATGTCATATGCTTTCCAGTTCACGTAGGGTCCGTCCATTGACAGCTGGATGAGGTTTTTAATTCCCATCTCGGACAACGTGTTGCACATCTTTTCCACAATATCAGCCGCTGTAGAATGTCCAAGAAACTGGGAACCGATATATTTGCTTTTGACTTCTCCACCTTCCCACACGCGTACGTGAATGTCCAATTGCTTTGACTGTAAGTTATGGTTCAAAGACTCGTCAAATAGCACGACGTATGCGGTTTGTTGTGACACTTCTTTCAATAAAAGTCTTTTGATATACGGCGCAAGCCCAAATGTGGCGATGTATGCACACTTCTTCTCACCGCATGTGAATCTTGTGGCAATTTGGCTGTCTGGGAACATAGCTGCAAACAGACGACTCGTGCCCTCTGACGATTTGTAGGAGTAATGCGAATTCATTACTTTTAATACCCATAGTATCTCGGCTTTCAGTACCTCATTTTTAGAGGAAAAGTCCAACGTTCCTTGAGTTGTTGTCGGTGCTCTTGGCGTGGGGGTTTTCTGTACACTAGCGCCTATGAACTGGCTGATGGGAATCGCCGCGGCATTTGCCCTCATGGCTAACTCATGTTTTTTCCCTTTCATATGGCTCGTCAGAGCAGACTCCCCCATATTCGAAATGTCAAACGTTTTACTGCATAGCTTACACTTGGCGTGACTTGAGTCGGAGTCTTTTTGAAGCCAGCTCTGATATTTTTCCACAAATAGCCACGCATTGTTGAATCTGCATTTTCCTGGCATGATGGTTTTGCTGAGTCGCTGTAGCACGGAAAACACGTAGCTGGCCTCGAGTCAAGCGGGGGGCGTGTCGCTAATGGCTGCAAGCAACCTGTCTGCCCGAATACAATGTGCGCGCTGGAGTGCTTTACGATTGTTTTTTATTTATTCATTACATATTTATATAGCCTTAAAAAAATTTAAACATACATTTTGTAAAATTTCCAAACTTTTCCAGGACCTACAAAATTCCAAAACTTTTCCAGGGCCTGGAAATTAGATTTTAAAATTCCATGACTTTTCCAGGTTTTCCATGACTGTACGAACCCTGTATCAACGTTTAAGGCCTGGAGGTCAATTTAACACATTTCCTAAAATTTTAATTCATTTAGAGTTCCAGATTATCACTTTAAAGCTGAAAAACTTGTATATTTTAATGTGTTACTTTAATCTGTGCAGTACTTTGGAAACGTGTTTTATAAAACGTGCTATATATATAAAGTGTATTGGACTGTGTATTTCCTTGCACTTCCTTGTGTCTCTCTGCTGTTCACCGAAACTAAAATCTGTCAAACTGACTGCGAGTTCTAGAGTTAATAAAGTTGCATGTTTGTGTGATGACACCACAAACCGAGTCTGTCTTTGATCCGCCAAGTTTGAAAGTCACTTATGAGCAAGAGTGAATCCAGCTCTCAAAAACGGATCGGCTTCCTCTGCCAAGTCTGTCTCAAGGATTTTTAGGAAGCGAAAGAGAAACTATTTAGCCTGGGCTCTGCGATAACACCCTCACCCGAATTCATACACTTTCTTTTTAAAGTGGATTTATTACCCCTACTGTAAGAAGCCATGGAGACCCCACCTGAGCATGAGACTCCTTAATTACTTAAATACAAACCACTTTACGCTCACCGGGAAAACGCTTGAATAGACGGAACAAAGAACGCACTGAAGCAGCAGCCAGAAAACGACAACGACCTCTAAATTGTCAGAGAATGAAAGCTTAGACTGGCTTAGACTCAACAATGCTACAACGGTCTCCTTACTGAGCCTCTCAAAGCTCTGTACTTTTGCACATTTTGTTTTCTTTACAACCACAGACAAAGACTTGATTTTAATTATTGTACTCAAAGTTCACACACAGGTTTCAGACAACTGTGACGTTAAAGTAAAATGATACATGATTTTGACATTTAATAAAAAAGAGAAAAAAATGGAAAAAATGTCATGTGAAATGTGGCTTTCACGCAGATTTTTCAGGCGGAAAGGAACGGACCACCTGCACTCGGCCAATCAGCTCTCATCCCAAAGAGTCAAATAGGGACTACATTTAATTCACTTTATTTTTGTATAGCTCCAAGTCATCACGGAGGACTTTATACAGATTCACCAACGACAGATCAGATAATCAAACAGTCCAAACACAAGAAGAGGGTGGCACAGTGGCTGAGTGGTTAGCAAGAAGGTTCTGGGTTTGAATCGCGGGTGGAACAGGGCCTTTCTGAGTGGAGTTCGCATGTTCGCCATGTATCTGCGTAGGTTTCCTCCAGGTGCTCCGGTTTCCCCTACCACTAAAAACATGTACAATAGTTCAGGGTGAATGAGTGAGCGAGTGTGAACATCGGGCAATTGGTCAATAGGGAGCAGATGACCAAAAATGTCCTGGATCATCACCACTGTCTTCTGACCCCTGCATCGGAAAGGAACAAGCCTAAAACCCAGCGGAAAAAAGTAAGAAACCTGGATTGAGAGAAGATCCGCTCCCACAGACTTTATGCACCGGGACTTCTTCTAACAAGAACGTAAAAGATAGATGAAGGCAGCATGTTGTGGTTGGATTTTACTTTCACAAACTCTGTCTGTACAAACAAAATGTAAAGTTTATGAAGAACAAAGTGAGGTACCCCAGCTTTAATTTCACACTGAACTAATAATAATAAAGCATTGGTTTTATGTAACGCTCTTTTGGACAGATTCTTCACATGTTATTATTCTTTGACTCCAAACACAGTGGTGATAAACTACTACCGTTGCCACAGCTGCCCTGGGGCACACTGACAGAGGCGGGGCAACTAGTCTGTGCCATTGGCCTCTCTCACCACCACCAACCACTCTCACACACCACACTCATTCTATACAATGTGGGGGGTGAAGTGTTTTGCCCTTGACCACGACAACGTTTTGGCACTTTACAGCCACCCCACTGTGGCACCAGATGTTCCCAGAGGTCTCCCATCACCATACTTACCAGCCTCTGCCCTGCTTAGCTTTCGCATGCAGGTGTGGCCACATCCAAGGGGAACGTCTCAGTCTAGTTTGCGTATATCGGGGGGAAATAAGTCTAGTTAACTTGATTGCCTACCCCCGACCAGTCTGACAGAATGCCGTGTTCCCAATGTTTACTCAATCTATCTATGTGGATTTTTTTTTTTCCCCTGGGCAATTTAAATCCAGCAGCTGCAGTAGGTCATTGCAAGAGAGATGAAACATTCTCTCGTGACCACACACTGCTGCCTCTCGGGTAATAACAGGCTCTTCATTGGAATATGACGAAACACAATATCATCGCCACTGCCTTGAATCATAATCAGACATGGGAATAGGACCATTAGCTGCTGTTACCGCAGTCGCCATGGTAATTGAAGAAGCAAAGAAATGCACGATTTGGACACAAACTCTCTTCGGTTTCTAATTCCTGCCTGGGAGAAAACTGGATAGCATGTAATCATTTGTGAACGTTACAAATGTGTTGATAAGGTCTCGCAGACAATGGCCGTTATCACATGCAGTTTGTCTCGGGGCAGAATCGGGGAGCTGAGGCCACATGACAGCGGGGGGTGTTAGATTTGAACGATTAGAACAGGCGTCGGATACTTTGCCCCTGGAAAGTAGCTTGAGATAAACGTACATACAAAGAAAATATATGTAGACGTTTACTTGACAACAGAGTTTGCAGCTTTCATGCGGGATGGATTAAAGAACAAATACGATTGTTACGTTACTCTGGCTCACGGGGGTAACAAAAAGAGATGCGCTGAAGCGGTTTGACTTGTTTTTTAAATCTAAAACAATAAAATGGTATCAGTGCAGTGTGCGAGTGAGTGTCTGTATGGGTCCGTATGAATGTCTGTGTGTAACCTGTGTGTAAAAGATGTAGAGAGCGCCAGGTGTGCAGCCACAAAAAAAGAGATTCTGTGCATTCTGGGCCAGTCCTAGCCTGGTCTTACCATACACCATCCTACACATTTCATTCTGGATTTGCCCCATTGAGCTCCGTTAACAGGTGGGAGGGGTGAACTCCTTTTGCAGATTGAAACGATTGGATCTGAGTTTACCGTGACATACAGTATGTAATGCATCGGAGTGAGTTGATAGCATTTAGCCTAGCTTTAGCCATATCCTCTGCCACTAACGGAGCCCCGGGGGAGTAGAGCCACAACATCTTTGCCAGTAATGACATTTGCTAAACATTCCTCTTGCTCAGACTTCAAATTCTTGATATTTGGAGCAGAATCAGAACAGATTACTTCACTATCGCATTCCGCTAATGCCAAACTACAACCAGCTAACGGCGCAAACTCTTGACGTCTTCAACAGTGACCTTCAACACCCGCCTCCCCCGCTCGCTGCTTGGTAACCACAACCACTAGGATCAGACCCAGACGTATATGTAGGAAATGATAATGGACTGGAGTTTGAATGAAATGTTAGAAAATGATATGTACTGATAATAATGTTTGATGGACATTGAACTTGAAATTAATAAACACTCAACTGGCAAATAAACTGAATCTGCGAGAAGCTCAGGTGTGATGAAATGCTTTGATTTGAGAGACTGGACATGGATGTGTGAAGGGGGCGGAGTCAGTGGTCGGACTGCGTGAGGAGGTGGAGAGAGGTGATCATTTATGCTTAAGCTTCATTTGAATGGGACAGCTACTACTATAAATACACCCAAATTAGCTCAAGGCAAGTTTCCAGCTGTAGACCCACTGTACACGCTTTTAGTGGTAGATGTGGATAATGGAGAACCAGGGCAGAATTTAAGCAGACACAGGGAGAACATGCAAACTGTCGGCCTAATCTCATTTATTATTAGTTTATTGATCCATGAAGGAGAAATGCAGGTGTCCAGAAGCAGCAACACATCTATCCATACTAACAAATACATAATTCTAAAAGTTACTAACAACAGTAAAATAGTAGATTACTGTTTTTACGATATTATATGCAGTTACACATTAAAGTAAACACAAAGTTGATGTGGTGTTTGAAGCTGAGACAAAAGTGATATGTTTTTCATATCTGAGATTCACAGTGAATCTAAAGGGAGTGAACAGGGATAG